GGCGGGAACTGTTCGTACCCTGTATAGAGCAGTGATACTACTGTACGATCAGCGCTGTGTCTCCTACATGAACAATACTGCAATACTGTGTGTGGCCACTATGCCAAAAATGATCTTACAGCCCAGCACTGTGCAGCTCGGTTAATCCTTTGTCTCCAATTTAACTTAGACACACAAATTTGCACCTATGGGCCATTATAGCAAGACATCTTGACAATTTAGGTGAGTCTGAAACAGAGGCACCTATTACAACTTGTTGCCTGTGTTTCATAATCCACATTTATTTAACAGGTATAAATTCATTTTAGACATTCAGGACAGAGATGAATTGTACAAATGATCTCAGCCTTGGCCACATAAATGACTAAGTTAATGACCTTACTTACTGGCAGTAAACTTGCTTGGAAACTAAAGTGTTACACATCACTGGATGAAAATTTGCCTGGCCAAATGGAAAATAAAATCACAGCGCCAAGATGTAGATGATGTTTGATGCTATGTACAATTACCTTGTATGTAGATTCGATATTTTACTGTGTTTCGTGTATGAAATCTTTGACAGCCTCTCTCCTGGCAGTTCAGAACAGATCTTAAAAGTAAACTCTTAGCAAGAAACTTTTAGTGCCTTTCAGTGGTCATTAAGTGCCTTCCCTCGTTTTGCAGTTAATCACTACTTCCACCTGCTTGGACTGATCCACTGATTGTAGACTTTATATTTGGAGGTCACGACACTGTCTGCTGCCTCTTCTGCAGACTGATGCTGTTAACAAAGATGCACCCAACTTTCACTCCAGATGCAGTATATATTCAACACGGCATTGCAGTCATTTGCAATATCATTCGATTTGTACTGTAAATAGACTTTATTAGTACAAATGGAAGAAAGGAGTACTATGATACTATGGTGAGATATAGGAGGTGTACTGCAATATGAAGTGGCAGCTGCACCCAGTATACTGTATGAGTTAAAAACTTTATGCAGACATGTTGAAGAGACACAAGGCCAGGGAGCTTTGCATACAGTTAATTGGAGCATCCCCTGAATCAACAACATCTAAACAAGATGCATTTGGGCGATAACTCTTGAAGGTTCAGTTTTTATGGATGAATAATTACGTGTGAGAGTTATGAAAAAACTGCTGCTTTGGATAGAAGAATATAAATATAGAATAGATGACAATATCTTAAAAGTGTCTGTATTGTTTCCAGACATAGAAAAAAAATCTAAATCTGTTTAATGTAAATAAAAATATAGACAGTGTATTCTCTTTGGAACATTTTAGGCTCCAAATGTACTTGCTTTTTAACAATGTGTATGCATAGACAACCGGTCATAATGTAAGCACCATTTTTCACCCACCTGCCTGAATCTTTGTGTGTAGGATTAAAAAGTTTATATGGCCCAATAATCAAATACAGAATTGCCATTTCATTTCACTTTATTATTTAGTCTGACACTGTGTTCATGTTGGCAGGGAAAGCGGGGCAGAGGGGTGGTGTTGGGGGCAATGCTTAGCGATCAACAATCATCACAATTGTGAGGTAGGGTAGGATACATGTGGTAACCATCATGCTTTATGTCACAAGTCTTCTAAAAACTGTGGTTTATTACAACTTGTTTTCTGGCTTTTGTTTTCATGAATATGTCCAGTATGAAATAATCTGTCCAACACTTTGGTCAGATGATCTAAACCTTTTCATTTGGCAGTAACACTGAAAGTAAGATGTCAAACTCGAAATGTTACTATTAGTCCCACTTTGTGCAGGAAAACTGTACGCAACTAGGTCAATGTTCAACCAGGTTGACCTGTAAATAGTTTAGGTAATAATTTTATTGTTATAATAATTTTACTTTCATTTCCAAATAAATTTAACTAACCCGTGGCTTTGTTTTCAATTTGTCAATCTGTTTGTGTTTCTGGTATCATCTAATTCAGTTGTAGAAACTAGAGATACAAAAATAAAACCCATACTCTGTAGCCTCCTTTACATGCAATACTGATCAAGGCTTGACCTATCATCACTCTTTTGTCATGAAAGTGACATTAGCACTGATCATTATCACAACATTTTACTGATCATTGATACATTTCCTTTTGTTTCTTTGTCAATAACCTGTGATTTCTGAAACATGAGCAAATTTCACTCACTTTCACATTTTATATGTCCAAAATTACCCTGAGCTGATGCAGATGCAACAATTAGAAGATGGAAGTTATGAGAGACACATGCTCATTCTGAAATAGGTATTTTGTAAATTAGTTTTCTTACTTTGGTGTGTACTATAACTTTACACCCTAAGAACATCCTCAAAAGTGGCATACAACTACTCAGAAAAAGAAGGAGTTGGTAAAACAGTTTTACCTGGCTGCATTTATATCCGTACGGTGGCCTGCTTATATCTCAAGAGCGTGTGGTCTCCCTCTACCTTTGTGTCTATTCATATTTGTGTGTGTTTGGTGACTGAGCATCAAAGAGCAGAGGAATGAGCTGGAAATATAAAGGTTTGAGGAAGTGTAGAGAGGACAGACCTGGATAGACGGAGGATATGGTCTTGACAAAGCTTTGTTCCGCACAGTCAACCTCCTGAGGGCTGAATGCAGAAAGACAGACAGAGATTGTGTCTGCATGTGTCAATAAGATGACTGGGGGAGCTGTCCGACAGCCCAAGGAATACGACGTGCATACTAAGGATTTCACAACAAAAGTCAATGTAGAAGAAGAAAAGCAAAGGAACTGTTGGAAGTATACGTCTTCACTATCCTCCAGACCACATCCTTCTTCCCAAAGGGCCACTTTGTGTGTGTCTGTTTGTCTTTTTAACTTTGTGTCTGTCTGATTGCATCATTGTGTATGTCTCTAAATGCTTTGTGTGTGTTTGTGCAATATGACAGTTTGTTATATTTCTTTTGATGAATCCAGTTCCTTCACAAGCACAGAAAGATGAAGTCCATTCTCCAAACTCCAGCCAGTTGTTGCATCATCAGTGCAGCTGCAGTAGCTTAGGACTCTGATTTGGTCTAAGTGTTAAGATTAAATTAGGTTCAAAGTCATTTCGTCTTGTCCCCTCAGTTGCACATGTTTGTGGTTGAAACAGAGGACAGGCCTGGACCTCACATGTGACAGCACTTTCCAAGAAAGCAGCGTCTCCACTTCCTCCGTTGCCTGAAGAAAGTGAGCCGTCCTCCACCCAGCCTCACTGCATTCTACAGAGGCACCATTGAAAGTATCTTGACCAACTGCATCATAGTCTGGAACTGGGGAGCTTCAACGTCTATGTGTGTGAGACTTTACAATGGACAGTGAAAACAGCAGAAAAGATCATCAGTACTTCTCTCCATAAAAGACACCTGTGAAGCACAGTTTCATCCACAAAGCTCTCAGCATTGTGGCGAACCCCATCCACAGACTCTTCGCCCTCCTACCATCCGGCAGGAGGGAGGTACCGAAGCTTCAGGGCCTCCTCTACCAGGCTTTGCAACAGCTTGTTCCCTTAAACTGTGAAGATCCTCAACAGCTTGCACACCTAGGCCAACTCAATCCTCCCCACAGACAATACAATAGGCCTGCATCCACCACATGCACAGTAACTGACTTTATGCATCACTTTAACCCTCTGTACCTGATAATCCACTGCACTGTGCAGCATAAGCTACCAATCATTTAGTTACAGTTAGGTTTACAACAAATATCTTGTTGCCCCTTATTTACAACTGAAGCAGCTGCTAATGAGCCAGGCTGTTGCTTGAGTGTTTGTCACAGTGTTGAGCCATGCCCTATTAGAGTAGGCTGTTGTATGGTGTTTGTATGTGTTATACTAATTTTTACCTCACAGTTATTAGTTTTAGTTCACAATTATTTTGTTTTATTTCACTTATTACCGTTGTGCGCATGTACTTTAGTTTACTTGTATGCATGGCATGCATATGTGTGAAAACAACAGTAAAGTGGAACGTGAATAAAGAAATCACCATGGTAAATGCAGGGTCCTCTCGAGTAGGGACACATGATCCAACATTCCAGATTAGTAACGACAGGCATTGCAAACTAGTTTAAGATATGAACGCTGTGGTATATGGCACTGGTTCATGCTATATGCTTGTCCCTATACTAACAAATATTACAAAATGAAAAAAATTCCGGGGGAAATAGTTGGACTGTGCATGTAGTAGTATGAAGGGTGGGTTTTGTTTGCGTGTGCACTGTATGTGCCTAAACTAAAACAAAGGAGTTGTTGTCTACCTGAGAGGAATTCAGTGTGTGTGCTGAACACACCTGTTTCACAGTTTTGTCAATCCTGGGGAATCAAAAGCCAGTTCACAGAGCTCCGGGCCTATTAGAATCCTACTTTACTCTTTCAAACAAAACCCCCTTGGAAATGCGCTCTTCATCTCCCCTTTAGTCTGAGAGGTGGAACTATCTAGCATATAACATTTGTTCTCTCTAAAGTAGTCTAAACCCAGGTTGTATATATCTTTGTTGTTTTCATTTACTCCTTGTGAATTATACCATGTGACTTCAGTATTTCTAAAAGCCACTTCCCAAGCCTATTCAGGTCAGGTGTTTTTGCTGCAGAGAATATACTAGAACTAGAACTAGATCTGGTAAATGTTGCTTTTACTGTTAAGGGGAAAAAATCACTGCAGCAGCAGAATAAAGAGTATAACTTACTTTTCACTTATCATATTAGACTCTAGGTAGGTCTAAAAGTCGTAATGTACGCAATGTACATGAAGTGAATGAAGCTTAAAATATCCTCCTTTGTGAATGCGTAGAATGTTTTAATATTATTATTATTATTTATGTTTTGGAAAATTATAACATTTTCCGACGGTACCTGAAAGTCTAAAGTCTAGGCATCGAGATTTGAATGAACGGACCAATCAATGGCCTCGCCGGACGGAAGCCGCTGACGCTGACGCTCTGTCACTTTGACCAATCAGCGCGCAGTCCCTTGTTTTCCTTGCTTTTTTGAATTGAGCTCTAACAGCAGGCTGAGACCTCCTCGGTGCTATTATGAAGTTGTTAGCTATCATCAAACTAAAGCAGACACATTTCGAGAATTTGGACTTTTTTCACGTATAAAGGGCAACATGCATTGATACCAGACTTGAGATTTAACGGAGACATGTTACATAATCTTTGAAAAGTTTGGACCGAAGAGGAATTACCGGGAATTCTTCGTTGTGTTGTTATCTTACTAGCTCGGTAGCTAGCTAAGTTAGCCAGAGACCTTACTGAATTTAACTGGTTCAGCAGCCAGTTGAGCTTTGATAGCTCCATTTCCTGTTATTATTTTGTTTTTGTTGTTTTTAGTACTAGCTACCAAAACAGTCGGTAAGTTTGGTCTACTTTGAGTTTCCTTTTTCTCACCATACCAAGCACTTAACGTTAGTTAAGCTCTGGTAATGTTTGGTACAGGGAATCTGGTGTCATGGTGAAAGCAGCTAACGTTAACTGGCCTAGCGTTAAAGGGGAGTAAGCTAGTTCTGTTGGCCTAATGAGTTTGTGTTTTACATTATACGAAGCATAGGAGAATATATGAGACGGAAAAGTAACGTTAATTCACATCCATAAATTGTCTAACTTAATTAGTTTGTTTCCAGTTTAGTCTGGAAAAAGTGCCCATTCGTTGCTTCATTGACTTGTTTACCTCGATACTTTTTGCCCTCCTTAGCCAAAACCATTGATATTACTGTGTTTTTTTTTTTTTTTGTCAACACTGAGATTTATTGTGCATAACGCAACTAATTTCCGATGCCAACTACTTTTCATTCAGTCTGGCAGCGGCTGTTTTTTGGCTGTTATGTAAGCAACCTAACAAAATGAAAGTTTCAGAATATAAATTTATCCACCTTGCCTAGTTTTACCAAAGTTATCAAAGTTCATAAATGTGTTGCTTTTTCTCCAGTTGAATTGTCAGACTCAGGCAGTATTTGTGTTTGAAGTCATGCCAAGTGTTGTCTCTTGCTTTTAGTTTGACAGTTGTCACCCTTCTTCTTTTCTTCCTTGGTGCTATACTTTCTCCCTCCTCTCTCTGCCTTACTGTGTTCTCCCTCTGTGTTGCTCTCTATTCATTCCCTGTAACTTTTGATAGTTTGGACAGTTTGGTGCCTCCTTAGGTTCCTGCCATGGCTGACAGCAGCATAGTGACTTTAGGGACAGCTCGGAGTCTGTTGGTGGATTCTTCGGTCTATGATTCAAGGATTGCTGAAACCACCAAGGACCATGTATTCCTGGGCATGGCATGTGAAGATGGGGAAGGTCAGTCTGCAGAGGTCACTGTTTTTTGTTCTCTCCTTCCTTCTCCTTTCTCTAAATCTCTCTAATCTCTTAATTCCCAAACTGCTGCTGTTGTTAAAAAATGCATATATGCATAAACACCATATGTGACCTTCAGTTTCAGTGTAGTTAATACCCACTAGAGTGTTAAATCAGGATTTTCCTGTGTGCAAGCCAAAAAGCTATTACTTTATCAGAATGACAAACACAGCAATTCTACAGATTCCAAAATGCTGTGGAAAAACGATGCACTAAAACCTGAAACAAGACTAGGTTCCAAACATAGTATATGGCTGTACCGTGTTGTAGGCTATTTGCATTCTGCCAAGTGTCAGCTGGTTTCAGCTCTTTATCTGTTTGCTTCTCTCGTACACTGTGTGCTCACGAGTACACTATTTTGATATAACTTAATTCCCAATAAAGCTGTTCTCATTTATGATTTTCGGTTTCTGTTGTCAGACAACAGAACAAGAATGAAAGAGTGACTGAAAGGCAGCCCATTAATACTACATGTTAACCAGCTGTCACTTCCAAGCGGCTGCTCTGCTGCTTCTAAAATCCTGATTCTATAACCACGACATTGTCAAATAAAAGCACCATACAAATAGGTTAAAGACAACGGCTGATGCTGTGATTTTGGCTATATTTATTTGTAAAATGATCACTCAGAGAGAAAGTTGGAAGCTCTTTTGTGTCAGCTGCTGTGTGGTCAAATCCTACCTTTGTGAAAGTTACAATGTGAAGTTTTTGTTGAAATAGTTTTCAACCTCTTTGTCCTTTTAGTTTAGTTTGTTTCAGTTTTGTTAGTCTGTAGATGGCTGCACTGGCTACATCGGTCATAGGAGAACACACATCACTTTTTTACAAAAAGGCCCCATTCACAAAGTCAAGTTAATGTCATTGTGTAACTGAGATAATTTATATTTAAATGAAAATGAACCTTATATAAAACATAAATTATATGCATGCTATAGGTGTGCTTGGTTAAACTATGAAAATATGGGCCAATGGCCATATCTGATTATTTTAGGGCCACTTTTACTCAAAATATCTGTGTGATTAACTCCTGATAATAATCCCCATGAAGTGGCAGTCTTACTTTGTGAAAACTTTCCCCTCCATGAAAAACGCATTATTCTGACTACAGGATTGGAAAATGTGGGCTTAACCATTGCAGTCCTGCAGCTGAACGTTGAAACAGTTTTTTTTTTTTTTTTTTTTTTTTTTAACAGCGAGGCTGACCAGTGGCATTCATGTCATATCTGACTTTTTCAGATTTTCTCTCCACAAAAGTTATCTCTCAAATGTGTAATGTAGCAATATCAGCTCTTTGTCCAGGATACGATGCAGGCAGACGGGGAGGAAAAGAAACTATTCAACTGTTACTTTACTTACAATTTCGGTGTTTTCTCTTCCAATGAATCGACTATTGGCTTTTTTGCTGCTCGCTATTGTTATTATCTCAGCCTTCAAAAATACACGGTCGACCTCTACTGACAGGTACCCTGGTTGTCAGTCAAAATGAGAAAACTTGCATCACCTCCCAGAGATGACCTGCTCCTTTATCCGACATTTTATCAATTCTTCTTTGAGTGTGGGTGTGTATCTCATTCCTCTTTCCCTTTTTACTTCTTTTTCATTCTGTCCTTGTTGCTTCCTCAGATATGCTGCCAAAAGTGGAGACGAGGGTTGTTCTCGTGGGAGAAGCGTGCAGAAATGGAGCGCTGGTCAAAGCACTACAGGTACATCAATCCTCTGTTAACCCCGAAGGTACACTGTGGTTCACTGGTTTCTATTAAGGAGGCAGGCCTCCACAATCTGACTCAATGTCGCTGCTATTCTCGATTTGATAAGTAGGACATGGAAAGTGTGTTCTGCCGGACAGTACTTTTGGGTTATAACTGTCAGTAGATGAGAAGTTTCTGCCATTATTTACTGTTGAATTTCCCTGTAATTTGAGTGTTCAGTGTTTCTCCCAGATTGTCTCAGGTGGGAAATACATCTGAATTAGGATGTATTAGGGACATGAAAATCCCTCATTGATGTCAGTTAATGACTAATGAAAATACAAATATTAATGACGGTAAAAATATGCATGCTTGTATTGAATTTGATTTATTGATAGATGGGTGCCACTGACTGGTTGGTATATTGTATTTTAAAAGCATAATTTCATCTGTGTTGAATGGTGTGCCCATCCTATATTCTTGAATGATTTCCTTCGAGTGTCATAGATAAAAAAAAAACAAAAAAAAAACAAACAAAAAAAGCATTATTCCTATTGGCTGCATCTATACAATACAACTTGCTTCTTAGCACTACATTCTTATCAGAAGAAGAATGTTCACCCAGGCAGCCACAATATTTGAAGTGAATAAACAAATAAATGAATACATTAAGTTTTAGTGATGATCACGCCTTTTTTCCCCCCTAATCTTTCAAAATGATGGATTGATCTTCCGATTTTTCCATTATCGTAAAAAAAAATTCAGTCAGTGACGGAAAATACTTAAGTCAACCCCTGCGTTTGATTACGGCACCTCCGGATGTTTTATAGACCAAAGCATAAATCAAGAAAATGTTTTGTAGATTAATTGATAATGAAAATGATCAGTTATAGCCCTAATTTAAAGTAGAGATTAATTTAAAATCTTTATTGTTTTCAAATTAACTGTTCACTACTCATTGGTATTAATGATGTAACCAGTGACTATTGAACTTCTTTAAATTTTCCAATTTAAATAATTTCACACAGACATTATAGCTGCATTTAAGTTGTTAAGTCATTTTTTGCTGCCTCAAGTCTGAGATATTTGGCAGCCTGCAGAGCTTTCACAACCTAAAGTATTTAAGTGTAGCTTCTGCATAGACATGGGTGACTTGTGATTTCTTTTTCAACAGCTGCTAGCTGTGGCTGGTGTGTCAATAGATCCAGTCATTCTCCCCTTCCTGACTATAATTTCAGCCTAAATTGTGAGCTCACTACCTAGCTTGACAAGTGTTTGCATTTGCTTAAAGGACCTATATTGTAGAAAGTGATTTATTTATTTGTCCTTTTGATTATAAAGCTAGGTGCTATATAGATAGTGTGAAAGTATCAAAATGTGAGTCAAAATCTGGCCTGCCCACTGCGTGTGACATGGGGTTCAGTGTTTTGCTCAAGGACAGTTAGTCATATGGACAGGAGGACCCTGGGATCAAACCACCAACCCTTTTGGACTCACAAAATGCAAGTGGACTTACTGCACTTTTGAGCTTCTCCCTGGACCTCTAGCAACAATACGTCAGTCGGCCAATCAGAGGATTCCAGGTAAACACTTGGAAAAAACAAATCTTGCAGGGTTGGACACTGGGTCCAGGTGGGCTGTGCTGGGGGCGTAGCTGAGGGTGGTGAGCGTTTTGTTGTAACATCACAAAGTCCTGACGGCTCATTTTGAGACACAGTTTTTGAACACGGGCTGTGTGCATTTTGTCTGTGGACTGAATGCTTTGATACTTTCACTGTATTTATATAGAACCTAGACCTGCTTTATAATCAAAAAAGACATCTCACTAATCTCACTTTCTTCAATTTGAGACCTTTTAATTGAAACAGTACAGAACCAAGAAAACCGTGGGTTGATTTTATATTTCCTTTTAACAATAAGCTCATAAGCTCATAAGGCTGTTGAAATCTGCAGCATAACATTTTTTGTCAAAATGTGTAAAGTTTTTCGCGGGGATGTTTACGTGTCCATCGGTGTGTGTTTGTGTCTGCCACAGTAAGCAGCATCTGATTTTGTGTCTTTGAGTAGCACCGTGTGAAGGTGATTTGGAGGTGTGGCGGCAGACTAAGTGCTGTTAGAACGACTTCCTTTCCAGGTCTCCTGAGTCCTGTCACTTCTGAAAGCTTCCTGCTTAAATCATCTATTTCTCCCTGCCAATCTGCAGCGCAGCCACATCCAAAGACATCTGCCGACAGCTCCATCAGAGCGCTCCCGATTGTCTGCCTGACCGCCCACTGGCGTTGCTCAGTCAACCCACAGAAAAAAAGGCCCCCCCCCACCAATTCTTCACGTCCCCTTCCCTTTTTGTCCTGTTCTTTTCCTCCTCTCCTCCTTCCCGACGGCTTTGAACTTTTATATTAATTTTTAACGGAAACTTCTTCTCCTCCCCAGCCTACCCCCTCTGGAGCCTGATAGTTGTTTGAAGTCACTGTCTTTAGACTTTGCAAGGACACAGGCCCCACCCATCTCTTCCTCACCTCCTCCTTCCTTCATTTCCAAACCCAGCCATTCTCCTTCTGTCCTTATGTGAGATTATTTTGTATGAATTTGTCTCTGGCATTCTCTTTTACTCTGTCTTTGTTTCTTATTCTCTCTCAATCTTCTGTTCCTCCTCCTCTCTTTTTGTTCTGCTATCCTTCTTTCAAATGCCAGTGTTTAACATCCACTTCCTGCTGGTTGGTTTTTACAGGCCATCAGAGTAATGGAGGTACCAGTGGTAAAGATAAGAGAAGGCGAGGCGGGAAGCGAGGAGAAAATGATGATAAAATCTATAGTCAATATGGTACAGTACAGTGTCTGCCTCTCTGTTTGACTGTCTGACACTTTGATGGGAACTTTGGGAAGTGCTGCATGAGTCTTAATTCACAGTGGGCACTCACTTAATCATTGTGCATGGCCAACTCACTGATGGTGAATTGATTTGTGGGTGAATATTTAAATATAATTGATGTGATGCTTGATATCTGGATCACACTTTAACAGAGATTTGCACTCAAATGTCAATGCAACTTTCTAGACTGAGGAGTAATATTAAAAGTCATTTGAAAGGCTTTCTACTTAGCATCATGGCATTTAAAAAAAAGCCAATTTCAAGCTGTTAATACCAAGGTTAGAGTTGCAAGCAGTCCCATGAAAAGCTATTTGCACACAAACGATTTAATTAGAAAGGACGTGAAGTGTGATGCAATTCATCTAAGAAGCTTTGGTTTTTGAGTGTAATCTCCTCTTAAAGAAATGGTTTAATACTTTGTGAAATATGTAAACTTGCTTTCTTTCTGAGAATGAGATGAGAAGCTCAATAACAATCTCATGTCTTTACAGAGCTAGAGTCAGGATGTGGTTAGCTTAACTTTGCAGCACTGGAAGCGGATGAAACAGCCAGCCTCCCTTAGTCTGTTACGTACAACACCTCTAAAGCTTAATAATTTACACATCATATCTTGCTTGTTTTTATACATTCAAATTTTTTTTATTTTTTTTTTATAATGTTAGAGTTGTTGTGTGTTTGAACTAGTTGTAGACAAACAAAAATGCATTCCTTTCATTCAGTGTTCCCAGCTAAAGTTTGCGTTGCAAGACACAGTTCTTGAGGTTTTAGTCTCAGAAAAAACTGGCAACTTCACTGTAATATCAAAACGCTTCGATTTTGTGCATTCTCCTTCACCAAAAATAGTCTCTGCTTTTAACAACCCTTGGGCCCACAAGTTTTCATTTTTAGCTATGCTAAAGTTTGGGTGGGTCGGTGCCCAACCTTGTTTCAGACTGAAGTATCTCAACAATGATGGGGTGGATTGTCATGAATTTTAATGCGGACACTAATTGTTCCCAGAGGATGAATCTTACTAACTTACAATAAGTGATCCCCCGACATTAAAGTTCCACTTGTCGAGTGAAATATTTCAAGATTGACTGGATGGGTTGAAGTGCCTAAGTGCAACCTCACAGAGCCTCTAGAATGGCTGTAGACTCACAAACAAGATATAATGCGTGCAGTCTTGAGCTGTAGATATGGTGTGTTTTTGAACCGTTGACAGAGCCAGATGAGCTATTCCCCCCTGTGTCAGTTCTTTACACTAAGCTGGGGTATATATGTCCTGACTCCAGCTCTGAATTTAAGACACAGACCTACTCATCTCCTCTTTAGAAAGAAAGCAAAGAAGTGTGTTTTCCTAAATGTTACACTATTCCTCTAACACAGTTGTCCAAAGCAATGTGGATCCTAACAGTTTAATAACAAATGTGGTTTCTAACTCTGTGTGTGTGTCACTCCGCCGATGCCTCATTACTGCTTCTACCTTTGTCCTGTGTCACCTACTGGAACAAATTTCTCTGAGGTAGTTTGTTTTATGGGCAGGTTTACTGGTATAGCGGGTAATTTTACCTCTCTTGAACTGCCAGCTCTGCCCATAAGCAGCCCAACAGCTAGTTTGTGATCTAATTTTTGCTTCCTGGTATCAAAGCCACTGATTCAAACAACTCTACTCTGATTCAGAGTAACACATTTACTCATCTGAGAGGGCAGAACTGATTGTTTTCATGCAGCACTGAGCAATTTTTCTTTTGCTGCATGGTACACAGAGAGAGAGAGAGAGAGAATATGATTGCAGCTACGGTATGTGCGAATGATTGTGTACTGCACACTACGACTATTTTTCTTGATGGATTGAAGATGTCTGCAGTATTAACCTTGGCACATTGACTGGAAGTAAATATTTCACTAAATAACAATGAAAATCTCCATTGAAATTGTTTAAAGACATCTTACTGGCAGCTAATTGTCTAATTTGAGTCAGTCATGGTATGGCTACTGTTTCTTGTGATGCAAAGTATTTCCTGGCTTACACTTCAGTGGGGAAGTAGGTCATTAAAACAATACAAATATTTGGTCTTAAAATTGTTTTGAAGACCATGAAAGGATAGTGATTCCATATTTTTCTTATTGACAACAATCCTATGAAAACATCAGAACTAACACCGAGCTCTTTTTTGTTTGTAGTTTTTACTTATTCCCGAGAAAATGTACTTATAATGAAATTAACTTATAAATTACCAACAGCCTCACTAACAAGGTTAACAAACCTCTCTTTGATAATTTGCAGATTAATTGTGCATGTTGCATTACTCCGTATTGTGTTTCTTCCTCTTCAGGACATCAACACCCCGTGCATAACGACAGATAACGTCCAGGAGTTTGGAGACGAAGAGAACCCTGACTTTGAGACAGTGTTTGTCCTCGCAGACTTTGATTCTCCTGACTACAGCTACCTCTACAAACGCGACAGCCGCATTGTTGGGGCTCCTGTTGTGCTGCACTGTGCTGCAAAGGAAGAAGTAAGTCAATGACTCGCAACATATTTATTTCAACTAAAGGATCCGGGGCATATATCTGTCCCACACTAGATTCACAGAAATTGTAATGTAATCTGTATGCAATTAAAGGTATAGTAGGCATTTCTATTCCAATACACTTTGTTGTCAAATTCAGCAAATATCTCCTCACAGTCCACTAGCTGTCCGTTCTCTGTGTGCACTGTAAAAAAAAAACAAACAAAAAAAACCACCATGATAGTAATGAAACGTAAATAACAATGGAGATATTACCTTGCCAACGTGGTATATAAATATTTTACTTGCTATGGCAGACTTCACATTTCCCTTCCCTTCCCTAATTTCCTTTTGAATGACATGTCTTTGCTTGTTAAATGTTACTTGTCTGTCATATATGCTCCTTTATGGAATTACACAACAGAATAGTTGGATTAGCCATTGGGACAAATCTTGGTTGGCCGCTGCAATGCTCGGACATTATTATTTTTATTTTTTTTGCACTGAATTTTGCTTTTCTTTTCCCCACAGCCTCTACAGTTTTCATGTCGCCCTCTCTATTCCACCACCATGCTTAACCTGTCACTGTGTTTCACTGGCTTCAGGAACAAAGAGGAAGTGGTGAGTATATTAACTTACCATTATTCAACTTTAACTTTTTAATGGCGGGATGATAACTTGGTATTTTGTTCTTAATCCTTCTTTGTAGAAAGGTCCGTGTTGTAATATAACTTACTTTTCTAAACCACACACTACTCTTTTGGGGAACATAATTCCAGTTGCACTGACATGGTGTTTAATTTAGTACATAAAGTGCAGTGGACTGCTTTCTGTGGCTCATCAAGTAGTTTACCTTGACGACAGGATGAGGGTTTGCTGGTTTGCAGAAAACACACTAAGAGTCAGAAACGGCTTTGTCTCTCGTAACCAGCGTTGCATATTCCAACGTGATATTTATTTTCCCCTTTCTGTGCTAACTTTGTGTGTGGTATTTTTGTTATCCATGTAGAAGAACTTGGTGAACTTGGTTCATCACATGGGTGGGACCATCCGGAAAGACTTCAGCACCAAGGTCACTCATCTCATCGCCTACTCCACTCATGGGGAGAAATACAGGGTACATTTACTCTTTTTACTTTTTTGTTTGTTAGTTTGTTTACTCTGAGCATGCACTCTTTCTACTCAGTCTTTATTTGACATTAATAGCACTGCAGTAGGGCTGAGCGATATTGTTAAAAATGTAAATCTATATTAAAACCTTTTTATATACAACTTATATCCTAGTTTTTAAGAAATACATCATGTCTATATATTTAAATTGTTAAAACTTCAGAAACAATTAGACAAATTAAGAAATAAAGGCAAAAAGACCTTAAATATACATTAAAACATGTTAAGATCACCTCAATGATGATATGCTTTTGTATGGAAAACAGAAATATCATGAATAAATCATCAATATTTGATATTTATTCCCCTAAGCCTAATGTACAGAACTGCTGAATACAAATAGTCCAATATTTTATGAAATTAGTGGAATAATTTCTTTCTCTTTTGTCATCATTATTCATTTATCCTGACGTGTGTTTGTGCGAAACATTGATATTGTATCTGCCATTTTTATTCAGTACATTTGGCTTTTACTGAGGAGACTGGCAGAACGAAAGAACAGAAAATAACAAAATAAATGTTTTACTTCTGTAGTGTTTCTGCGGTATTCACTCATTGGTGGTGGGTTGACGCAAAAAGAATAATGGCAGCACTCCCCAAAATTCACTGCCCTCAACAATCCATCAAAATAGTGCTGACACAGAAACGTGTGCTGTAACTTAAAACGGATCAATGTGAAGGAAATGAAATGAAGGAACCAAAATGAAAATCAAACCTGAAACTTTACCAACTCAAAATACAGCAAAACAATAGGGAAGCAACACTTTGTCATGTTTAGAAAGTTGCGATTACAAACCCAGTGAGTTCTTTCTTTTTTTTATCTGGGTTTTTATTTTACTCGTCTCCTCATCTGGTTGTATTGCACTTTTTCCCCCTCTCTGGTTGAATAAACCAAATGAGCAAGAAATCATGTGAGGTTCCTCTCACCCTAGCTTGAAGTGTCTCTGTCTAATGTCAGAAAGTGCTAATTTAAATCCCAGTTGGATACTTTTAAAACTGAGTTCAATACATGGCCCCCTTCATAGGGATACACAGAGACAAAGGGATGGATAGGTGAAGAGATTGACACTTATCTGTCTTTTCTCTTCTTAATATTATTTTTGTTTTCTTTCTCTCTTCCCCCCCTCAGTTACTACCTTCACTTTTTTTCACCTCACCGCCTCCCCTCTTCCTCCAGATAATCTTGTGGAAGTCTGCCCCCTCTTCTCAGTTATTGCCTTAAATTCTTTTCACCTCACCACCTTTTCTTTTTCCTCTTCAAAGTCTTGTGGTGCGTTCAGAACAAGACAAAATGCAGTTGGAACTTAAGGAACTCAAGGCTGTTTTGTATTTGAAAGTGTGATGCTAACTTAAAAAAATGGGAAGGGGGGGGGTTGAAACACTGAGCATCTCATATTTTTTTGTGTCTGAAGTGAAAACTGTTATTCTGAGTGACAAGTCGATCAGGAGTAATGAAAACAGCCTGGGGAGATTGTTGTACTGTGAGCACTGACAGTGGAACTATTTGATGGTTTTATAGTTATAAATTTGTGCAGAGATAAATGTCATGCCCTCTTTTGTGTTATTATGTCTCCCTCCGTCTACCTCATCTCTTGGCTGCATATTACTCATTGTGTTTTGTGTCCTCCCTCTTTACTATGTCTTACTGTGCCTCATCTCTCAGCTGGCAGTGTGTCTGGGGACACCCATCCTCACTCCATCATGGATTCTGAAGGCATGGGAGAGAAGAGATGATGTGTAAGTTGAAAATCCTTGAAGGTAACATATGAAACCTTGTGCTGTTGAAACTTGTGTTTTATATGCAAATGAAAATTAGGGTGTGTGAATGTAAAAGGTTAATTGGGTGCAGGACTTCTGATGTCCAGATTCACTAAGCTCCGACTTGAACTTTCTTAATCTTCAGCAAAGAGCAGTGTACAAAGCACTTAGGTAGCAGTTTCTCATTTTTAGCCAGCGTCACTGGTTATAATGACAAGTGGCAGCAGGTTATATGAGCTCTTACCGCAGACCAAAGTGAAGCTTTGCTGCTTTGTGTGCTCTCTGCAAGCCAGTATCTGTATTGAGTAAAAGATTTCCCATGAGGGAAGAAACTTCACTCTAATGCTGCTGTGCAGCTGCGCAGGTTCTTCTGTAAATCCAACAACTACAGCAGAGTGGGATGTCTTCTCTCTAGGTGATTGTGTCATGTCACTTTCAGGGTTGGACCTTCTGAGTTAAACTGTTATTCATATGGATTGAGCTGCTTAGGAAAAATAAGTTGTGTTGAATTTAGCAGGCTTCACCTGTTTTTTCAATATGCCAGATTACATATCTTGTTAACATTGCATATATACTCTTGCTATGTAAGAATAAGTATTGGGTTGGACTTGGTGTCACTCAGTATTCAATGACTCGAAGTGGGATCAGGGTCCAATGACCTTGATAGGGACACCCATTACAAAATGTAACATTTAACCATCTGTCACATGTTCGCTTTTGTTCTCATTGTCTGTAACGACAAATTCGGGAAAGCCAAATTCTGGCACTGCTCAAGAGGTGAAATGACACATTTCAGTTAGTTTCAAGACTGGCAACAGTGCTCGATTATTACAATTTTTGTTTGACAAAGACGACCATTCCAAATAAAGAAGTACAATGGAGAACTCTTGTTGGACAAATGAAGATAAAAAAAACTACAAAGTGAAAACATATTTTTAGAATATTTTGCAAATTGATTAAAAATCAAAAACTGAAATTGTATTTACAAGAGTATTCAGACCTATAATTCAGTATTATGTAGAAGCCTCTTTGGAAGCAATTACAGCTTTGAGTCTTCTTGGGTAAATCTCTACAAGCTTTGCACACCTGGATTTGTGCAGTTTAACCCATTCTGTTCTATTTGATAATAAATTACAATAAATAAAATTTATTCTGCATCTAGCAATTACAAAGGACCAAAATTACTCAAGTGTGAAGACCAGTGTCTCAATGGAATTTTACAATTTATGCTTGATCTACACATAGATCCTGTGAACATATTTTTGCAGGAGACTTTGAACTTGACAGTATTATGACCTTACACTTTTACCAGCATTTTTTGTGTGAGCTAGAAGGTTATGTTGGCACACAAAGCCATATGTGGAAATGATGGCATGGTTTGAGATCACCTTGTTCCTCCCACCCTCATGTGTTAAGGTACTTCCACGCAGGAGAAGAGGAGTTTCGAACAGAGTTCAAAGTGCCTCCTTTCCAGGACTGCATCCTCAGTTTTTTGGGTTTCTCAGAGGAAGATAAGGCCAACATGGAGGAGAGAACTCTTAAACATGGTTAGTGCTGCAGCACACAGTGATCTCTTGTAATATCTCTGTAGCAGTAAGCTGTTGCCTTTTGCTGCTACAGTAACAACAGCTTTGAAGTCCTCAAGCAGATAGTATGGCTGGCACTTCATGATTGTAAACCCTACAAGCAGAGAATATATGGCCAGTCCACCACCACAAGTCCCTGCAGACAGCATTTATTCAAGTTGAAGACATGTAAAGCAACAGTAGCACTGAAATGTAAAGCCCATAAGAGCATGGAAACCAAAAAAATCAATCAGTCGATTTCAGTCTGATCGAGCATGCATTCCACTTGCTGAAGGCATGACTAAAAGCAGAGGCAACCCACAACAAGCAAGAGCTGGAGGTGGATGTAGTGAAGTCCTGGGGGAGCATTACAGGAAATATATAAAGCATGTGGTGACTTCAGGCTGTCATGGATTGCAAAGGGATTTTTCACAAAATATGAAATGTGATGTTTTTGTTTGACTGCATGTATATCTGTCAAACTACTGTTAAACCCTTAAACGTTTAAATGGTTTTATATCTCCCTCACAGTTCTCTCTACGTTGATGTAAACCTATCCAAATTAAAGCAGGAACCTTTTTTTTCAAATTGACTGTGCTGAAGCACAGTCTAGAAAACAAAAATACTGGTTTGCAATGTATGTGTATGCATGTGTGTATAATTTTTAAGAAGATCACCTCCCTGCTTCTTTGTTTCTAAGGTGGTGGTTACCGTGAGGTTGGAGATGAGAGCTGTACACACATGGTGGTGGAGGAGAACTCGGTAAAGGAGCTGCCATTTTCTCCCTCCAAGAAACTCTTTGTGGTCAAACAGGAGGTAGGCCTTTGGATTTTATTTGGCATCAACACTGATATTAAATATCTTTTGGAATGTGTCTGTTTTTTAAGATCTGAAAACCACTAAACATCTCTGAATACTCCGTATGCATTTAGCATTTACAACAGAGAAATAGTTAAGTTTGTTTCAGCACTGCTTCTTAAGACAACCAAGTTTGATGCCTCTGTGATATTGGTCCAGTGCTGTCTTGACATATGAGAATAATTGTAATACCCATTTGCTACAGGATGATACATAAACAATGGGGACAAGAGGAAAATAATGAATCCTCTCAGTTGTTTCCTCTTAAACAGAATTTCAAATGACCATCTGATAAGGATTTCTTTTAGTTTAAACCTCAATTGATACAGTCCCCGCTCTCCCTCTCTCTGTCTGTGTTGTCAGAGAGGGCTATTAATAATAGATTTCCCCTTCCAGCATATGAATAATTTGAACCAAGGTGGAGTAGTAGTTTAGCTGTAGTTATAACAATCAATACAACCCTTTCTTTACTCAGCCAGTTTTATTGTTTTTTAAAGGAAAGTGTATGTCATTATAGTCTCAGAAATCTTTTTTTTCCCCACCCACTTCTGCCCTAATCCAGCAGTCAGTAAAAACACTTTTCTCTTTTCTCTGTGGCAGTGGTTCTGGGGGAGCATTCAGATGGACGCTCGGGCTGGAGAGTCCATGTACCTCTACGAGAAGGTGGGTATATGATGGGTAATGTTAATGTATGTGTATTCATTCAAACCAAAATTACTTAGGCTCACCTGAAGGATACTGTGGACTTATACAACACAGATATACGGATACAAAAAGAAATCGTCTTTGTTTTGTTTGCATTAAAATATATGAAAACAGTATAAAAGCACTAAATTACCCATGTCCTTAAATTATTTGTCACATTAATCTTTTTTTGATTATTTTTTTTATACTAAGCACTTACTGTACATTTATGTTTCCCCTATTTTTGTTTCAGCACTTATCATTTCTGTTATTATAGTTATTTAATCAGTTTGAAACCAAACCAAGGACCCCTAATCATACTCCTCCTGTTCGCCCAGGAGCACGAGTTCATTGTCAGGGTTTTTTGTGCCTTTCTTTTTATTTAAATCTTGAAAGTTAAAGGATAAGGTTTATTTCTCATGATTGTGACAATTGTGGCTCTATTGGTTGTGCTACCTTTGTAATCACCACCTCTATTGTAGAAATTTGGGAAACAAAGACTGACGCAAAATAGTGTATATCAGGGCAATCAGTGTGATCCTCATACAGCTTTCCAAATAAACGTGATTTTAGATGAATAATGTCGAACACCTTTTCCGAGTCTGACTGAAAGTGAACGCAAATTATCCGCGAGCAATACATTACACTGACTTTTAGGGACCTACATCTGGGACAACTTGCTGGGTGACCTCACTCTATAATACAGTCAAAAAACTGATTTCACTTGATTTGTGTTGATCTGAGATACTTGTCTCTTGGAGTTTCTGCTGTCTCCCGGCAGGGAATGCCAATTTAGGGCTTTGGGAACCAAAAACTGCCTGCAGTAAAATTCAGACGGTGTCAGAAGTTTAGGATCAAAGTCTTAGTGTGAATGCTGTTACGACCCATGTCTTCAAACCAGCAAATCAAAATAAAACATGAAATGACACAGAATACACTGGCGTGTGCGACATGTCGTACATGCTATCTCTGAAAATAATTTAGAATAAAAAAAACTCACACAAACCAAAACGATGAATGAAAAAGGAAATGAAAGTTGCCACTCTCAAGGAGCTGCATTTTCAAAACATGAGAGCCGCATAGATGGATTGACACATACATAGTCGTGCTCCAATTCACCATGCTTTCATCTCACAATCTGGCAGTGTGACAGAGATTGAGCTCAGGATTTTATTAGAGCTATCTGGCACACTGTGACATGCAATCAACTTACTCGATCATTGTTGCACAGTCTAAAGGCACCTTCAGGGAGTTTCCTAGTGGGCATCTTTATGAAGTTACCACACTCTTTAAGAAACATTTTGACACTCCGGGCTGCCTGGCTGCCATCTGTTACTCAGCACAATTGAGCTCAAGATCCAGTTTAGTCAGAATGTGCCTTTATCACTGATCAACAGATAATTGTATTAATTGCAAATGGTTTTTGCTTCAAGATGTTTTAGTTTTTTTATTTTCCCCCTCACATTTTCCCATGTCATAATTTGCAAGACAAGCAGCTTGCCCTCTTTTCTTTTTACTTTTATTTATATATTTTTCTTTTTGTCCCTTTATACTTTAGAATGACAGCCCTGCCATGAAGAAGGCAGTGTCCCTCCTGTCCCTCGTAACGCCCAACAGTAACCGCAAGCGTCGGCGTCTGAGGGACACGCTGGCTCAGCTCACCAAGGAGACTGAGATCTCCCCCTTCCCTCCACCGCGCAAAAGGCCGTCAGCGGAGCACTCCCTGTCCATGGGTTCTCTGCTCGACATCTCTAACACCCCTGAGACATGCAAGGCCTTGGCAGGTAAGAGGAAAATGGAACACACCTGGTTGATGTGAATACTAATGCTGGGATATATCTCCATTAAAAATGCAATACCTTTAAAAGATATTCTCTTCTGTATTATGGTTGATTTTCTCTTCTTTATAAGACGGCACTACCACCATTAACCCCTCTTCATTCTAGAAGACAGACTAGGAAATGGTTCAGAAAGCAAAGGAGACAATGCTGTGACCATGAGTAGGCTGATAAGAAGAAGAAGCAAAAACAGGAAAAGCAGGGTTAGGACAGACAGGGAGGAGTGGAGGAAAAGGTCCTACCTGAGTACAAGTATCCTTCAACAACCAGTGGAGGAGCAGCAGCAGCCAAGAACTTCTGCAGGTCAGGCCAGTTTGAGGCTTATAAAAAGTAGTTGTTGGTAAGATGAAAGAACTCTGTGGTAGTGACCAATAACTCTCGCGTCAGTTTTTGCAAGTGGATGATTTCTTTTTTTCGTGAAGTATTGGATTATATGCATGCCACCTGAGTGTAGTGGAGTACAAGCAAGAACATGGCCCAGCACAGACCAGAGTATCACCTGGCCTGGCAGCTCAAGTGTTGTATTAAGTGTGCTGAATTGGCTAAATTAAACCTGAACATTTTTAGACATGTGTGAGATGGGATAGGAACAGCAACTACCATACATACAGGCAAACTAGCTAACTTTGGCTTTGATTGGCTAACGAGCCATAGGCATGAGAAATGTTCAAATGGCATGATGATTAATTTTGGTACAGTAAATTTTTACAAACTTTTTAGTTAAGACTTTTATGCTTAAAATGTTTGATTGCTCATATGGTAAAAGCCAGCTCACAGACAGTCAACATGGTTTAATCTCATCGCTAAAACAAGGTACTGCGAAAAAGGTTTAAGGATCCATTTATATTAAAGAACTGGAGACAAAGTACAATGCAGTGTAACAATACTACAAAATTTTTAAAGTACTGCAACAAATTATTGATCCATATCAATATGGTTTTTTACAAGGCAGGTGGATCAATGTCAATATCAAGTCAATTCATCAACTAAATCATTTTTATAGGCCACATAACAAATAAAAAAATGTTTCCCCAAGTCTGCACAGCACACTAGGATGAGAAGGAAAAGGCCTGAACAACATTATCATCATGATGGGGAAAGCAGTTTTATTTAAAGCTGCAAAGAAACAAAATTTTAGTTTAAGGCTGCGACATGATAAAATATGAAAAAGTGAAGGGGTTCTGATGACTGGTTCCATTTTAGCCCAGATGTTATCTTCATGCATCTATAGATGATGGAAAACTGTAGAAAATCCAGTACAATTTTCTACTTTGATTCAGCCCTGATTTCACTGAGATTTCTGAAAAACAAAATAGTGGATGGGCACCTGACCGTGTCTGCCTGTGATTCAATGCAGAGTTAAACACTTGCTGTCTTCCTCCCGGCTTGTCTTGTTACCAGAGAGTTCGAAGCCATCCAGGAGTTCGACCCCAGTTGTGACCAAGCAGTCAGCCAGGTGGCAAGTCTCCAAGGAGCTCTACCAGACTGAGAGCAACTATGTAGACATTTTAAGCACCATCCTACAGGTAAGTGTGTGTCTCTGTATTTGCACAGTGTGCACTGTATTAACACTCCCTCACTGGTTGGCCTGTCGGTTGCCCCTGACATCAGTTTCAGGCTAAGCTACAACCATTACAGGTGTGTGTGCATGCTTGCTCTTACTTGGCCTGTCTTATCAGTTGGTCCCAGCAGATTCAGACAGCTGACCAGTGAGGAAGAAAATCACCTGTCTGACCACTTCTCTTTCTCCCTCACCCTCAAAATCTTTCACTCTTTTTGCTTCTTTTCTTTACTGTTTTTTTTAGGCTTCCTCCATTTTGTTGTTTCTTCCTTTTCGTTCATTCTGTCTTTCACCGTTTCTCTTTTTCTGCCTCAAACATCTTTCCTTGATTTTTGCCATCTGCCTCTCTTGTAATCTGTCTTCTCTGTTGTATTCTACTGAGGTTTAACTGTTCCATGTCCTCACAACAAGCTGGTGGCTAGCTCCTTGGTGTTCCCTGCCTTGAATCTAAACACAAACTCGCCACATGCTCCTAAAATCACCTTAATGATTCTGCTGTAGGTTCTCGGTGCCATTTATCAAAAGAAAACCCACTTGAGGCTGACTCCACAATCCAGTCATCGCTACATGCTCGTTGTTACAGTTTATAGTTGTACTCAAGTTGATTACTGCCTATTTCATAGACAACCCATGTTCCTTTTTCACTTCACAGTTACACAGCTAGTATAAGCCCATGTTCAGATGGGCAGCAGATGGTAGCGCGCTAATTAGACTTCAATTTTCAACATGACACAATAGTGCACAGGTTGATTGCAAGAATTTTGGTTAAACTAAAATTAAGCTGTGGCTTTTTCTGTCTTCTGCCACAAATGGTGGTTGTCAAAAATAAAGTAATTACCTTTTAATGAAGAATAAGAGCCAAATAACTCTCCAATTATATAGCTGTGTTTATTTATAGTAATAGTACAAAAAAGGCCATGAGAAATTGTCAAAATATCCTGGAAGATTTCCCTGTATTTGTATGGCACTAACTCAAAAGTAATAGTTATTTATTTAATCTTGGGACATTTTAATGTTTTCCACAGTATGTGTGGCATTGTTTCATTTATTGATTTACATGTGAGTGCAGATAATATCCAGGTCGTGCATTATGCTAGTAGAACCAGTTAATGAACAGGTTCCATCTTGTCACAAATTGACACTAAAATGTCAACAGACAATTTTGACTTTTATTGAATTTTGTGTAACATATCTTTGTGTAACATATCTTTTAATGTATATTTAATGTATATTTGTGTTCACTTCTCTCATATCTGTTGTGAAGCTTTTCAAACATCCGTTGGATAAAGAGGGTCAGGTTGGTGGACCCATCCTGGCCCAAGAGGAAATTAAGACGATATTTGGCAGCATCCCAGACATCTACGAGGTTCACACCAGAATAAAGGTAGTATGTCCAAAGGACCAAATTATTTTGATTTTGTAATTGTTGACCTGGTGTTGTTGACCTGTTATTTTCTATTTGTGATGGTTTTTCCATCAGCATGACCTTGAGGAACTCCTGACAGACTGGCTCGAGGAAAGGAGTGTGGGAGACATCATTCTCAAATATGTGAGTTAAAACAAATATATTAATATGCAGTTGTTGTTTTAATTATCAGTCATTTATGAGGCTTGACCACTTCTGGGGGTAATGGGGTATTGAGAATGGGCTTCCAGTTACAGAAAGGGATGTAAGTACAGTGACATTGTGAATTATTCCTTGAAACTAGTTTGAAAACAACTTTAAACAACTTTTTTTTTTAAAAACAAAAAGCCTCCTTCTTGTATCTGTGTTCTTCCTATTGACGTTTCTGACCCATCCCTATCTTCTCTTTCCAGTCTAAAGAGTTGGTGAAGGCCTACCCACCCTTTGTCAACTTTTTTGAAATGAGCAAGGAGACTGTTGTTCGGTGTGAGAAACAAAAGCCACGCTTTCATGCTTTTCTCAAGGTATGACCTTTTCATTTGTACTGCAAAGAGTGACAAAGAAAAGAAAAACAAACGCAGGAAAACCCTTTGATATCTCCTTTTTACCTCCTCTTGGGCTCCCACCTGCAAGGTTCAGAAATATTGGTCCAATACTATTGGAGATTTTATGTATCAGTGCTTTTGCATGCAGTTTGGATACAGAGTTACAGTAAACCAAGTCAAGTTGATTTCTGAAATCTCATGTTTATAAGAAACCTTGTTTACATAATCTCGGTAGGTGATCAGAAACCTGATTTTCTAGCTAGATTTCTCCTGGAGAATGCAGATTTCTGGGCTTTGGTTTGTAATTGTCTTTTTATATGTATACATGTGCAGGACAAAAGGCCTCAGGCAGGGAAAGTAACGGTGTGATAGCTGAGCAGTGGGATGGAAGAAAAGATAATTACACATAGCAATGCGTCCTTTCTTTGTGTTTAAAACACTTCCATCCCACATCTGATGAAAATTTAATCTAACAGTAAGTAGCTTTTCAAAGTTTAAATAAGTTTCCAGAGTCTGAGCATTTGACTGAGTGTTGAATTCAGACAATTTCACTCTGAGGAGAAACTGTGCCTCCACCGAGCCTGTCCTCTCACCGTGCTGTCAGTCTTCTGCAGCACACACATCAAGTTAGAAAGTAGTATTTTGTGTCACTTCTACAGTTAAAATAAGTTTGTAATGTTTCCAAAATAAAGTTGGACTAAGATGGAAATCTGATCAATCACCAAAGACATGTATTTTCCAGGGCGACTAGTAGTCAGCAGTTCAAGCTATTTGTCTTTACACCTTTTATTATATTGATTTAATTAATTAAATATGTATTTTTGGTGGCATCAGGACATGGTTAGAGTTTAAGGGCTGAGAGAGAATGCTTATAAGTAACAGTGGTAACACTTTACTTACATTACAGAGAAATAGAAAACTGGAACAATAAGCTTTTGAAATATAAATTTTAAGTGCACGAACAAAGCCAGTTGCCTGTTATTGACACCGTTCAGAACAGTAATCATTCTGACTGTGTCCGAAAATCCAGCATGGACTGTCTGAACATTTTGTTAATTTATTTCAACGCAGTATGACAACTTAATAACTTGTAACACCAACTGAATAACTTTATGAAATAAATGATAAATAAAAAAAAAAAATCAATAGAATCAAATATCACTGCAAAAAGAAACAGGCGTACAGACAAATAGCCTAAAAAAGCTTTTCTGAGGTCAAAAAGCAAATAATATAAATATGAAACAAATAGATACATTTTCCAACATCTTGTGAAATCCATGCCGTGAAGAATTGAGGCTGTTTTGAGAGCAAGGGGAGGCTCTACCCAGTACAGTATGTATGTAGCCCTTTTTAATCTCTGTGTTTTCACCCAGACATCCCTGTTAACTGTGGGTTGTTCATTTAAAGGTGCATAAAGTAGTTTCAAAGTGGGCATGTAGTACAGACTTTTGTTTCCCATTTCAGTGTGTCAGTAAGGTTTACACAAAGACATGTAACATTAATGCTTTGATTTTTACAGATCAATCAATCTAAGCCAGAGTGTGGCAGGCAGACACTGGTGGAGCTGCTCATCAGACCTGTACAGAGGCTGCCTAGTGTGGCTCTTCTTCTTAACGGTAACACACAAATATGCACTTGCATACACATCACTTTGTTACAACCATTAAGACAAAAAGATTTTTTGTGCTAATTACATCGTACCTTGTACTTTTCTCCTTATATTTCTCCTTTCATACTGGCCTCCTATCTCCTGTCTGTGATTTCCCTTGCGTATTCTTTCCTACTCATCTTTCTCTAAATGATTTTCATCTCTTCCTGCCCGTCTGCCTCCTTGCAAACTTTGTCTTTCTTCCACCATTTCAGATATCAAGAAACATACGGCCGATGACAACCCTGATAAGATAACACTGGAGAAAGCAATTGATTCTCTGAAAGAAGTCATGACGTGAGTTGGCGTGACCTTACCCTTTCTTTTGTGAGGATGACACAGCCGGCATTGTTTGATCATTTTCAACACCTTACGTGAACTCTCTCCTATCATCCTAAGCCTTGACCATTATGTAGGTTCAGCTTGGAATAATTGACCATTGTTGAGCCAGGATTTAGCAATAAAGACTTTTAAGGCTTGACGGACTCACCGACTCACAGTTGTACACCTGCTTATTTGTGCAATTATGCAATCAGCCAGAGATCGTGTGGCAGCAGTCCATAAAATCATGCAGATACAGGACAGGAACTTCAGTTAATGTTCACATCAAACATCAGAAATAGGAAGATTGTGGACTGAGTGACTTTGACAAAGCGGGATTGTTGATGCCAGACAGGCTGGCTGGATTTCTGAAAGTGCTGATCTCCTGGGAATTTTACATATAACAGTCTCACACCACACGCCAGCCTACACATTGAACCTTGAGGGGAGTGTGTTACCACAGCGGGGGACCCTGTCTGGTTCCGCTGCCATCAGTAGAGATGTTTTGATACCTTTGTTTCCTTCCCAACACCAATCTGGTGGGAGTTGCAAAGAAGAACTGATTTCCAGGAAACCTGCAGTTTTATCCGGATGTGAACTTATAAAGTTTATTAATAAATTACATTGTATTGGGTCAGCGCATAGACTTGTGTGCTTGCCAATACCTGTATTTCAGGCAGCATTGGAGGCATTTCCAATACTAGTATCGGTATCGGATAAACTCTAGCTGTCAGCCAAGTCAAGGAATCTAAGGCTGCAGTGGACACAGCTTGACCAAAGCTGGACTGTTGAAGACTGGATAAATGTAGCCTGGTCTGATGAATCTTATATTTTTGTTAGATATAGTTTTTTTTTTTTTTTTTTTTCTGCACTTTTTTTGAATATAATAATAGTTTCTTATTAACTAGTTTAAAAAAAGTAACCTAGTGGGTTGCAAAACACAAAGACAGCTGATGGATTATCAAAGTAGTTGTTGATAATCTTTTTAGTTTATTGGTTAATTGTTTTAGCAAAAGTGAGACAAACAATAACAACTTTTTTCTTCTACTTTCCCTCCATTCTTTCTTCTCCTCTCTTTTCCTCCCAACCAGTCACATCAATGAGGACAAGAGGAAGACCGAAGGCCAGAAGCAGATCTTTGATGTTGTATATGAAGTTGATGGCTGTCCTGTAAGTTTGAGAATTGCTGCTGTTTGCATTCATGCGCTTGTCAAGTCATAGTGGGAAACTGGATTCTCTTCTTCACCAAAGTATTCAGACACTTTGCTGCGACTCTCCAAATTGCAGTGACGTGCATCCTCTTTGCTGTAATTATTTATTGGATGTGTCTAGAACCTGATTGGAGTCCATCTGTGGCAAATTGAACTGACTGGACATAGTTTAGAAAAGCACACATCTGTGTATATAAGGTCCCAGAATTCACACTACAAGTCAGAACAGAAACCAAGCCATGAAGACCAGTGAACACTCTGTAGACCTCTGTGAGGCATAGATCAGGGCAGGGGTAGATGAGGTCTGTAGATGAGACCTGCATAATGTTCAGTATGAATGTTGTACCATTCATTCTTGCAGATCTCCTTTAGCTCAGCCATATTCTTAGGATGTCTAGTGTGAACGACTTCCCACCTGCGCTTCAGCAGGTGGACAGACATCCTGAATTCATTTTCCCCTCAATGATGACAAGCTGTCCAGGATCAGAGGCTCAAGGTGCTCTTTGTTAAACTTCAGGGACGCTGTGATGATTTTTGTACGGGGTGGCAGCAGCTTCCTCTGTGGTGTCCATGGTAGGACAACATGCTCCATGCAACCATACACCATGCTCTCCATATGGAAGACTCAAACAGATGTTAAACACCTCCAGTGATGCCTCTAAGCCTGTAGCTTTTACTCTGCAGTCCTTTTTTTTTTACCTCATTGAGTATTCTGCATTGTATCTTAAGAATCATCATTGCTGGGCGCCCACTTCTAGGGAGAGTAGACAGAACTAAATTGTCTCATTTTATAGAGAGTTTGTCTGACTGTAAACTGATGAATATCTTAAGTCTTTCAGATTACTTTGTAACCCTTTCAGCTTTATGAAAATCAACAATTCCTGATAAAAGTCTTCTGAGATCTGTGTTTTGTGGGTCATTGCTCACATCAGCAGATGTTTCTTGTGAATAGCAAACTCAAACTGAGTTTTGGTGTTTGGTGTTTTTTTACTATGTCAGAATAGCTCTAACACCACAGCTCCAATTTGGTTTTATTGATGTTTGCTAAGTTCAGACTCCAATTAGCTTTTGTTTATGTCATTAGCCTTGGGGTTCACATATTTTTTCCAATTTACACTGTGAATGTTTGAATTATGTTTTCTATATGGACAAGAACAATACAATAATTTGTGTGTTATTAGTTGAAATAGATTCTGTTTGTTCATAATTGTAACTTATATGAAGATCTGACCAAATTTAAGACAATTTTCTGCATAAATCGGGTAATTCCAGAGGGTTTACTTCCTTTGTCTTGCCACAGACTCCTTAGGGCCTGTTCTGCACTGTATATAATTTAGTAAACAGGATAGTCAATTATGAGAGAAAACATTAGAACAATGGAAAAGCTTAAGATACTGAGGGAACGGTATTAACTTCAATTTAAACAGCAAAAATCCAATATGGGTCTTTTGTCTTCCCTGCAGGCCAACTTGCTGTCATCCCATCGTAGTCTGGTTCACCGAGTAGAAACAATCGCCCTGGGAGACCAGCCATGTGACCGTGGAGAACATGTCACACTCTTCCTCTTCAATGACTGCCTTGAGGTGTGAATACACAAAAACACTAATGAAGTTTTGACCATATTCACACATAATTTAGCTGTTTAATTTACCATAGACTGATCTTAAAGTTTTCCTACTGCACTGACATGCACCGACATGCACTGACTCACCTGACTCTTTACCATCCTTCACCTAATTGTGAAGTTTTTTTTTTTCGTCTTCTTCTTCTTAAGACCTGGTCATGCAACATTTAAAACTTCAAAACCATCTTGGTGGTACTGACGTTTGAGGGAATGGAGAGCTAGAGAATTCAAAACACAGTAGGTCAAAATAGGTATAATTAAGTTAGTTAGTTTTAGTCAGTTAATTGTTCACAAAGCTAGTTCACCAACTAACTCTGCAAGTAAACTCTACGTCATCAATCTTTTAAAACTACATATCTCACGAAAATACACAAATGAATTTTTCCGTGCTACTTTCTGGTGTGACTGGGCATTAAAGCTGCATTTTAAGATCAGTTTGTAATAGCATTTTTGTATTAAAGCTTGCATGTCTGCCATTAGTCTGCCATAATTTAGAGATTTTGTCATTATTTGCTGTTTGTTGACATCAAATTCAAACATGTTTTTTAAAGCTTCCATGTTTGCACATAACTCTTTCTATTAAATTATATTCTTGTAAATTGCTGAAAAGTCATTTTCAGCACTAGATTGTGTATTTTTTGTGAAAGACACAAACGAAAAGATTTCATCAAATTGCAGTCAACACCTGCACACTTATTCATGCAGTTATCTAGTCAGCCTGTTATGTGGAAGCACTGCACTATGTCAAATCCTGCAGATACAGGTCAGGAGCTTCAGTTAATGTTCACATGGGAGAAAAATGTGATCTCAGTGACTTTGACCACGGCATGATTGTTGTTGCCAGACGGGCTGGTTTTAGTGTTTCTGAAACTGCTGATCTCCTGGGATTCTTTCAAACAAGAGCCTCTAGAGTTTACTCATAGTGCTGCCAGAAACAAAAAACATAACACAAGGAGTAGTAGTTCTTTGGGGAGGTCACTCTCTCATCAACAAGGTATTTCTATCCAGTCACCAGAAATGAATCCAATCGAACACCTTTGCGATGTGGTAGAACAGGAGATAGGCAGCATGAATGTGCAACCGACAAATCTGCAGAAATTATGTGATGCAATCATAAATATGAACCAGACTCTCATGGGAATGTTCCCAGCATATTGTCGAATCTAGCTCACAAAGAACTGAGGCTGTTTTGAGAGGAGAGGGAGGCCCCTACCCAGTATTGGTATGGTGTTCCTTATAAAGTGATCAGTGAGTGTATTTGAGACCCCTGGATTGTGTTCAGTGCAATTTCAGATCTTTGGAAGGTCATATTAAGTGCTGTATGTCATATTATGCACTAAGCTGTAAACTGTAGTCAAAACAGCTGCATGCCTTTTACAATAGGTGTGTGATTTCAAGCTATGTACAGCTTGAAATATTAAGCATGAAATATACAATTGTAGAGGATGGTAAAGAAGAAAGATAATTTTGAGAGTAGAGGGAGACCCTAGTATGAAGTTCCTAAAAAGTGCACAGTGAGTGTATATGTGATACAAATTTGGTATGTTGGTTGTAGTTTGGGTATGCAGTGCAATATCCTACGTCCTACGCCTTCTCACTATGATGTTTGTAAAAGGAAACTCAGCATATTCTTAAATACATGCTGAGGTTCTTGTGCACATTCAGTGGCGAGGAGGAAAGGATCTTTTGGCAAAGTAACAAGATAAAAAAGGTGATCAATTCATGTGTGTGCAGTCTATCATTGCTGACACAGTCAGTATGTGTTAATTAGCAAAAGGGCAGCATAAGAACAGGGCAGACAATCATGAAAGAGATGAGGTGGGTGGTGGGGTTGTTTCAGGACTGTCAGCGACACCTCCTAATGAGCCTGTGTGTGCGTGTGTGTTGATCAGCCACACATGGATTTCTGACAGTTTGACATGTAGTCCTTTATGTATATTGAGTGAATCTTGTGTTAGAGTGGGTGGCCTCATTATTTCCCTCCATCATCTCTAGTCATTGATTAACTCCTGTGTTCATATAATCACACTCACCCTCTTCACTCACACTGCCAAAATAACAATGACCTGTAATGTAGTGTCCTATTTTATCCTCTCCCCCATTTCTTGCTTTTCCTCTTTCCCTCCTTTCTCTTTCATCTTTCTCAGCTCCTAATTAATGTGACATTAATGAGTTGCATCGTTTACCTCTATGAATGCCTCATTGATTTATTGCTAAGTAAACACTAGCAGCTTCACCTCCACACTGTAAAATGCACCAACACTCAATTCTAAGACACAAGTAAAAGACATATACGTACAGGATGTTATTTTGAGGATGCCTTTCTTCACATTTATTTCCATAGTTGCTGTTTCATTTTGTGTATTATATGTTTGGGTGTGTGTGTGTGCTTCTCTGCAGATTGCAAGGAAGCGACACAAGGTGATCAATACGTTTAAGAGTCCACTGGGACAGACGAGACCACCGCCACCACTCAAACATATTGCACTGATGCCGCTGTCCCAGATTCGAAGAGTGCTGGATCTGCAGGACACAGAGGGTAACAACATGCACACACAGCAATTTAATGAAGTTACCGGTCATCACAACATTTTACATTTGTCATTTTAGGATGTTTTATGTTCTAAATACCAACTTCTAATTGAATAAAAGGATAACTACAATTTTCAAATACATCTTCAAACAGCAGTCTCAGACTATAATCATTCCACCAATTAATTCAAGTGCTTTTTGTTTCTACCCTTCCGATGAGGCTGAACATTGGAAATAGAGGGAAATTCCATACTCATTCAGATATACATTCAAACTATACATTTTTGAATATATATTTTGCACAAAATAAAGATTGTTGGAGGATTATTTTTTCCTTCCCCTAATCACTTACATGGAAAGGGACTGGAAAGATGTTGATGTTTAAATGGTCTGTGAGAACATGAGGAACAATTACAGCAAGTTAAACATTCAGTGTTCATCTGGAAACCTGACTATTATTTTAAGACAAACCTTCAGAAATTTCCTTTTAATAATTTTATGTCCTTGTAAATTGTTTTGCATAGTTGAAATAAAGTGAAAGCTGGAAATCTAAAACCAGTAAGGACAGAATGGAAAGTGGTCAGCAGTCACATTAAAGGTATACACAACCAGTAGATAATGGCTTAAAAACATGCTAAGATGAGCATCTTTAGTGTGGATAATGGTCACATTTTTGTGGCTGAGACACAAACGTGGCTTGATTTATTGTGCTTGGATTGCAAATACATAGCAAGAGAATTGGTGGTGGTAAAATTGTGTCCAGTTCCCTTTTTATACCCTTGACTTCTGTGTCCCTCCACATGATGGACTCAATGAATGACAATGAGCTGAGCTCCACCTTGAGCCGTGTCCAAACTCACTCCCTCGTTGACTCATTCACTGTCGTTGCTTAATTTTTGCTTCTGCAAATTGCAGTGACATGCTATTAGTAGTATGTCTATAAAAACAATATTTCAGTACAAGTGGAAAAGAGCATCTATCTGAATATCCACACACACCTCATTCCCTCAGTCCTATTAGTTTCATGCTAGAATTATATTAAATAATAAAAATCACTGAACAACTCATTACCTGTTTAACTCAACTACTAGCAGTGACACTTATCAAAAGGGCTTGCCAGAAACCTGGTTTCCCTTTTTGGCAACTAGTAGTACTGTTTTTTTTTTTCCAGATATACCATATCTCTATCTATAAGTACTGTCCTCTGCCTAGATGAAGAATAGTGCTGCTGTCACAATATTTGCAACAACAGAAATGGAGAATAGGTGAAAATGGAAATGCAAACAAAAGCTAAATGATAACACATCAGCATCGTTGAATAAACAAGACCAGAAATATTAATGCTGAGGAGTGGGAGGATAAGTGAGGCTGCAAAAAGTTACAGGACAGTAAACAAAAGTCAGGCAGAGATGATGTTTTGGGATGACTGCACCATACATACTCCTGTGCATCTCTTTATGGGCTTCCTAATCAACAATATTAAAGATTAAAACATTTTTGTGAAGTAAATATCTCCTTACTTTACTATGCAAAGTCCTAGAGTTTTTCTGCTTAAAGAAGGCTACAGGATCCCACATTTCAGGATACAGTATGACTCTATAACAAGAATAAGTGAAGGAGGTCCAAAGGCAAGTTCTGTGTGTCCTTAATCGTCCAACCCTTTAGTTTCATGTGAAAACACATTGTTCAGAGACAAATGGAGTCTTTACACAGAGAACAACAATGATTGATGTTTAAGGAGTTTGGATAAAGCACTGAAGTTAATTTGTCTTTTGTTCTTTCCATCTGTTTCTCTTCCCTTTCTCCCCATCCAACTACCTCCCTCAATCATCTTCATGCTTTTTTGTCTCATTCTCTTCATCTCAATCTCTTCGCTGACTGATTCTCCCCCCTCCCTTCTTTTTGTCATTCTTCATTATCCTCTCTCTCTCTCTCTCTCTCTCTCTCTCTCTCTCTCTCTCTCTCTCTCTCTCTCTCACTCTATCACTGTCTGTCCTTCTCGCTCTTTCACTTCCTCCCCTCAGAGTGTGTGAATGCATTCGCCTTGGTGGTTCGCCCCCCGACTGAACAGGAGAACTTGTTGTTCAGCTTCCAACTGGCCGGAGAGGAAACAGTTAAAAGCGCCTGGCTGCGAACACTTTGCCGCCATGTTGCCAACACCATCTGCAGGGCTGATGCGGTGAGAAGCCACACACGCGCACACAAAGAAAACTAAGTAGGTAGTTTGACAGATCTGCGGGCAGAGTAGGAAGCTGTGATAGCTCACCTTCACTTTACGCTGGAAGATAAAAGTTTTTTCTCTCCATAAACAAATTGGTCCAGTCATTGTCATCACCATCATCAAGCCTCAGACATGTTAATAATTATCAGTGCTATCAGCTAATACCATAGCATAGTCACGATCACATGCACTCATCTCTCAATGTCTTTTCAAATAAGTATATTACAGCTATATATTCTACAGTTTATTTCTGTTTTTATATGTTGGGTTTGGGGTATATGTGTGTGAGATAAGTTATTTATCTGGAAAATGGCAAATAAGGGAAAAGCAAATACTTTCCTAATGAATATATTGGACTTGCACCAGGATCAATTGCTGGTTTAATAAACTAACTAAATATTAAAAAGATTGATTTAGATTTTTTTTTTGAAAAACCCAGTAATTTCCTGTATTTATTTATTTTTGCAAACATTACTCAAACAGAAGGAGCTAGTGTATTTATTGTTGACTGTTTTCAGCTGTGAATTAACCCACATTTGGTGCTCTAGTGAGTGTTTCTGGCAGAAGGAAGGTGTATTTAGTCAAAATAAACTAGCGTGTTTGTTCATAGTAATAAAGGTCCATGCCACCCAGTGTGGCTCAGTGAAGCATTTTTTAAAAAGTACAGAGGAATACGGACTACTCTGGCAGTACTTGCTATTTTTTTACCAATTCACTTGTTGTGAGTTGATTAAGCTTAATGATTACTGAGCCAACTGGAAGATATGGAGTTTAGGCTGTTAGCTGTATTTAGCAGAGCAAACAGCAGGGGGTGATGTAGGCCTCTGGTCTACCCGCCTCACAGCTGCATTCCTAATGCTGTTTTCACTGGGTCAGCGCTGCAATGTGAATACCAACGAGATAGAGCCCTGCTTGTTAAAAAGAACTGCAGGATGAGGGGGAGAGAGAAATAAAGACTGTGTGTGTGAATCTTACTTCTCATTCCCTCTTGCAACTGTTTTGACAGGGAAGCATAATGTAATTATTGTCATTGATTACATGAATTACACACTTATGGTCATGATTTATTATACTGAGTTTGAGGCTGTATCTTTTTTGTAACCAGGAGGACATGATTCAGTGTACAGACCCAGACTCACTACAGGTCAGCACCAAGGATATGGACAGCACCCTGAGCAAAGCCTCCAGGGCCATTAAGAAGACCTCTAAAAAGGTAAACGCAGGACAAGCCATTTCTCATGATTAGCCTTCCCTACTCTTCCAAGGGTGGGTGACTATATCATGTACGGTGAGCAGTGAAGTCATTTTCAAAGTAGCGCTGCTCCCTGAATGTTGACAATTCAAATCATTAGTGGAGAAGACCCCCAGTCGACTCACATTCTGTCAGTCGAATCAATGCATTTCATCTTCTTTTTTTCTTTTCTTTTCTTTTTTTTTTTTTTTTTTAACAGCTTGGTCATTGCACACAGAGAAATTCAGAATGACAGCATGTAAGGCTATGAACTTTTAAAAATCAAGTTTTGTTTCAAAATTACTGAACTATAAGACTAACTGTGATGAAAATAGACGGCAGTGTTTGAAATGGACGGCAGAACAGCACGACTTGTTGTTTGTCTTGTTCGGTGCTGCAACACTTTAAACTCAGGTGCTGAATACAACAAAGTTGGCTAACCTAGTTTTTAAACCAGATGCCGTTACAACCACCTCTACTGCTGCTGTCCAGTATGACTGACTCTTCAGCTGACAGTGCTGCAGGAGAAACTCATCAAAAACATCAGCAACTAGTGTTAATTAAAAACTAAAAATTATTTTAAATAAGTTAAAGCATGAATGACGAGCACATAGAATTTAAGAAAAAAAAATCTAAGTGAAAGTGCCAACTTTGACTCTGTGTTAACTCTGAATGTCTTTGTTTGGGTACCACCCGAGTTCAGACTGACAGGACTATAGTGGTCCTGATCATTAGGTTTCTATATACAAACTATTTCAATCAAACCACAGAGACATGAAGGAAAGACATCTAGTGTATATTGTCTGTGTTTTTGCTGTAGTAAAACACTGCTGGGATTGAAATGTACCTTAGATTTTTTTTAGCTGCTCTTTTCAGCTTATCCAGGGAGGGCAGCTAAAGATTGGAATCTGAAAGAATCTTTGGAGCAAGCAGATAAAGGTTTGACACTATCAAACAGCAAGTGTTTATCTGACTTTACAGCTCCTTAAGGAAATATCAGAGGAAACAATAATTGTGTGCAGTGAAGTTAAGAGGTTAAAGAAGGGGCTATGGTGCAGGACGCCTTGCCAATCATTCTGCCAATTTTACTTTTTCTTGGTGTTACTTCTCAGTAGCTGTCACAGAGGCCAATAACTTTGTGGAAGCTAAGCTGGCAGGGATATCTATAGCTTAACACTAGCCTCCTAAGGTTTCAAATGCTCCAATGCTGCTGCATCAATGCTCCCTATGTTTTTTTTCTGCCAGTCATCTTTTAGCTTTTTCTCTCTTTTCTACTTATGCAGCCACTACATAGCATCAGGTCTTGGTATGATGATGATTGCGCAACTGCTTTTTATAATACTGCTGATGATGAAACAAAACTTCAGCAATTACTTTAATACTTAAATTACTAAATTAACAATAATCTAATTTCAACCCACTAATAATTAAAAAAAAAAAAAAAAACTACACTTTTTCAATGAAAGCTTTTACATTTGTTCTAACTTTAGAATGCCTCGTACAGATGGTTCTCTGCCAAAAAGAGCCATCATGGATGTGCTATGTTGTTGTGTGTTTGGAACAAGTAAAGATCAACAGGTTGTGTAACTGACCTCAGCAGTAATGGATGCTAAGTGCAAACAGACAAAAAGACTGCAAAACAAAAGAGAAACACATTAATTACTGAAAAATTCTCTGGGTGTGCGTTTGCTAGGTGACGAGAGCGTTTTCTTTCACCAAGACCCCGAAGCGTGTGATCCAGAGGGCGTTCATGGCCAGCGGTACTCCAGATGAGAAAAATCAGAGGCTGAGTTACGAAAACCGCATCAGCAGCAGCTCCACACTGGCTGTAAGTCTGTTTATTTGCTCAAAGAAATCATCCGTCTTTTACTGGGAAGACAACACACTAACTTTAACAGTATTGTATTTCTTTTATTTATCTGTTTGTCTTTTTCAGGACGAACTAACTGATACACAAATGTATACATTTTGTAATGGCATTTGATATTACATCTCTCTCATTCACACTTTGTGAAAAACGGGGGAAATAATGACACAATGCCGCATCATATTCTTTGTGATTGAAAGACCAACATGTGTGCTTCAATTGACTTACTTTACGTACCTAAACACTACACCTTCAGTGATCAACATGCATTATTGCATTTCCAGAATTTCCAAAAGTCTTTACAAAATGTGTCTATGTTGTCTCATTTATTTCAACAACATAACACAATTAATACTGTGTGGCTGTGTCTGCCCATCTATCTGTCCATATCTTACTGATCCCCTTACTATTCTCTATATCTCTTCCCCGTTTTGCTGAGAAAGAGGCAATTGATCTCTTGATCGGCCCGTGATAGAACAGCTTTCAGTTGTTGTCATTGCTTTGATCTAACTCGATTAAAAAGCAGGAAAGGGGCTCGTGTTCTTATATGTGCTGGGACTTTTTTCTGCTCTTTGTACGACTGCGTTATTTGGGAATTTCCTACTTATTTTCCTACACCTTTTCTGTTAATACTGTACACAATACTGTATTTTCATTAACTACTGCAAGTGGGTGTGATGAAGAGAAGGCGGGAAATGTTAAAAGATGTGGAAAAATCTAATTACAACAATATTCCATTATATTTACACACTTTTGATGTATAACTCATCTAGCTCATTACCTTGTTGCCAGTGACACTAGGATGCAAATGCAGTATGTTTAACAGCTGTATTGCAAAATAATTTAAGGATAAATATTAGACATATTTTATTTTACATATTTTATATTAAACATTTTGCTCATATTAGTTAAGATTAGGGATTGACAGGGCCTCTAGAGGCTAAGACCTATACCATATAACCACAACATCCCAGGTTTGATTCTGGCCAGGGAACCTTGTTGCATGGCAAAAAAAAACAAAAAACCAAACAAATAGATAAGGGTGTGACTAAAGGGGCCGGATACATAAAATAGGTTAATTTTTCAAAACTATGTGCATTTTTTTCCCCCATTTCTAAAGATTTATACACAGCTTGCTGATTTCCATTTTGACATTTAGCCACAGATAAATGCTTACATGCCTCGAAGCTCAATTTATATTCTGTCTTTGCATTGACACAAGGGTCCACATGCCAGATTGTGCCTGCAGACAGTACACAGACAAACATGTCAACATATCAGTGTATGCAACACAAGTGTAGTATAAACAGAACTATATGCACATCTTTGCCCATGTCCATTTTGGAGTGTAACCAACTGTTTTATCACCTGTTTGATATAAATACTTCTGTCTGCTCTACCAGCCTTTAGACCAGGAAAAGAATGGCAAAGGAGAAGTGCAGTTCAAAGATTGTTTTTGTGAAGTCAATTTTAATTTATATAGCGCCAAATCACAACAGTTTTCTCAAGGCACTTTTCATGTAGAGCAGGTCTAGACTGTACTCCTTATAGTATTTGTTACAGAGACCCAACAATTCCCACCATGAGCAAGCACTTGGTCACACTGGCATGGAAAAACTTCCTTTTAAGAGGCAGAAACCTCGAGCAGAACGAGGCTCAGGGTGGGCGGCCATCTGCCTGAACCGGTTGGGCTGATGGAGAGACAGAGGGAGAGAGAGAGCAGGGTGAAAAACCACTTTGCAATGATAATGATTATAATGATAATCCTGTTCTGCTCAAGGTTTCTGCCTCTTAAAAAAAAAAAAAAAAAAAAAAAATTTCTTGCAACTGTCACCAAATGTAAATAGTATAAAGAGAAGGTCTGGACCTCCTATATTTGAGAAGTTCCTTGAGAAAACTTCCCTTGTGAATTGGCACTATATAAATAAAATTGACTTGAAAGTAACAGTAACAGCAACAGTAATGATAAGGATGATGATAATAATAATGATAATTATAATAGTAGTTGTAGCAGCAGGTGTAGAGCAGCATCATGGGGGCGATAGGTGGTTTGCAGAAGAAAAAGAGAAAGGCACACAGCCTGGGCGCTCAATAACAAACAGTCAAACAGAATGATGCAGGGGTTTCAGAAAGTTTACAGAAATCTTGTTGGAAGGATAACATGGACTATACAATATATACTGAGTTTAACTGATTTATTGAGACTGAAGCTGACCCGCCAGTGGTAGAATGGTAACAGGTACAAAACCTCAAGTTGTGAAAGAATAAGGAGCTTACTGAAAGTTAAGGCGTAAAGATGAGTTTTAAGTTGGGATTTGAAGGCCCCAACAGAGTCAGACAGTCTGATGTCAGCAGGAGGGTTGTTCCAGAGGAAGGGAGTCGGATAAGAAAAGGCTCTGTAGCCAGCAGACGTCTTTTTAACTCTGGGGACAGACAAGAGCCCTAAATTCCGGCAACGGAGAGCACAAGATGGAATATAAGGTTTAAGGAGATATGGTATGAAGGAGCAAGCCAAATTAGGACCTTGTATGTCATTAAAAGCACCTTAAAGTCTGATTTGACATGAATAGGGAGCTAATGAGGGAAGCTAAAATTGAAGTAATGTGGTGAAATTTTCTGGATTTAATTAAAATTCTAGCTGCAGCATTCTGAACCATTTGAAGACTTTTAATACGGGCATGAGGCCGATCAGAAAGGAAAATGTTACAATAATTAAGTCTCAATGAAACAAAGGCATGAATTAAGATATCAGCATCTGTAATGGACAAAAAGGACTGATTCTTAGCTGTGTTATGTAGCTGGGGGAAAAAAAACAGTCTTGGTGATGTCTTTAATGTACTGATCGCAGGAGAGATTCTTGGCTGTCAGACTATGAGAAATCACACAATTGTCGAGTTGCTGCTACTTGATCAAACTGGTATCTGTGTTGAGCCAGGCCGACGACGAGCATCTCAGTTTTATCTGACTTTAGGAGCAGAGAGGTTTGAGACGTCCGGCTTTTAACAGCAGACAAACAGACTTCTAAATGTTTGTTGTTACTGATTAACTTGGAGGAATGGGCTCCTCTTACAGTGGAGAGAGCACACTTGTATTTAAACATTCCTGGCACTGGAGGAAGAGAGCTTCTGATATTTATTTGCACTATTTGTGCTCCAATCTACTGCAGGCCTGCTTCAGGTTTCCTCAGTAAACCGTGGTGTAGACCTCTTTGATCATCTAGTTTTAGTGGTGAGAGGAGCAACTGAGTACAGGAGACTTGATAGAGCTGTTTTCAATTCCCTGGTACAATTTTCAGCAGAGCCAGTTGCTACAGTGAAAGCGGCCAGGACCACCTGTAATTGCTAATCAAGAGGTCTGTAAAGCACAACAAGGCAGAATGGTCATAGTCTTTCATACTGGAGTGGGTGATTCATAACAGATAGAGATGGTTTCAGTACAAGAGCCTCAAAGGAGTTCAAAGGTAAATTTAAGATAATAGATTAGTCTAAAATTGGGTGTATAGATTAATGATACACCCACACCTTGCTTAGTAGCTTGAGCAGCGTGTATATTAGCCTAATCAGGTGGGGAAGCTTCATTAAGAGGTAAGATAATATTTTGTGACAGTGGGATTATCTGGTAACAATAGGGCAGCCATCTTTTTGCACAATCATGTGACAAGAGAAGATTTATTACAGGACTGATGTACTAGGACAGAATTTGTTTTAGCTAGGTGCCAGCCGAGTGTATGTTTAAGCAAACCTTACAGGATGCTTCATGATAAAGGATAAAAGGGGGGAAAAATACAAGAAAATAAAATTACACCTCCAAGGGTGAATTAAGTCAAGTAAATTTTTTATTTGATAGCTACAATTCACAACATATGTCATCTCAAGGCACTTTCCAAATAATGCAGGTCTAGACCTTCTCTTTATAAATTAATAGAGTAATAGAATTGAGGACACAATTGGTTTGAAATATGCCCCTTTTTCTTTTAGGACAGAGAACAGAATGACATGCAACAATGTTCCTGGCCAATTTGAGCTCAACAAGTGGTGAAATCAATTTGTAAACCTTTTCTTTGGTCTGTATATTAAATGCTTCAGGTAATCCTAGCAAAAACTTCAAATGTGTGTGTGTGTGTGTGCGTGCGTGTTTCATCTTGGAGGATTCTTTTTGCCCCATTTAGCACTGATAGCGCAGGAACTTGTTGAGTTGTCAATGCAAACTTGTGTATTTATATTTCCAGGTATGTGATTTCAAATTTCCACCTACAGATGTCTCTCCCTTACTCTGCATGAAAACTTAAAGCCTGACATTTGTATCTTACTTTGTGATATTCATTCTCCCCCATCCTTCCTTCTATGCTCTTCCAGATAAAGACAAGTGTTTGTCTTTGGTTTCAGCTCCTGAGGATTTTCTCTCCTTGTATTTTGTTTCAGCACAACTATTCTCTCTGTCTCGTCTTGTTTTCCTTCATGATGTGTAAATTCCTGATCCATATGTGTCTCCCTTCTATTATATACTCTAGATGTCTCGCTCAGCCTCTACATTCAGTTTGAGTGATTCAGCCAAGAGCAATGCAGTGGTGCAGCGCTCCAACTCTCTTGACCACCCTCCTGTCAGAGCCAGGGTCCCTGTCTGTATCCGTACCCCCTGCAGCCCAGCCCACGACCCTCCCCATAGCCCTGGTCCCAGCACTGCCCCTGAGTTCAGCCGAAGTCCTTGTCCCAACTATTGCCCTAGAACCCCAGAACCCAAGTCCATCCTTCATGCTCCATTATTGACCCAACCAACGCAATCTCCTTCAAACCTCCCTATTTCCCAGCAGTCCATCCCTTCAACCCATTCCACCTCCATTCAAGCTATCCGAAACTCTACCTTGCTCAATTCCAAAACCTCCCAGCCAAAATCTAACCAGCATGTGTCCAGACACCTGCCCTCTGTGGGGTTCCAACCAAGGTCCCTGGCTCCTCAGCCTGTTAATGTCAAAGGCAGGACCTTTTCTGAGTCATGCAGGGATCCCCAAGTCCCCTTGGACCCACATAAGGCTGCCCTGACCAGTCATCGCAGGGAGACTCTGCTCTAAACCATCGCTAAACACAATCCTGGAGCCTGATGTGAGCAAACATTATTGTTGTCCAGTCTCAACTAGGGGTACACCAATGCCATTGTAATTTCAAATGTATCCTTACTACCTACTGTATTTCCTGCTTCTAACATCCATTATACCACTGGTGCATTTCTCGTCCCAAATCAACTCCTTAGAAGCTGAGACTCTGTGACAATGATAGATCAGATTGATAAGGGTTTGCTCAACAGCTGAACTCTGAACTCCAATGATTAGATACAAGTGCGTTAGAAACATTCCAGTGGTGTGGGAGTGATGCTTTTCCTCACTTGAGATGGGTGTTAGGTTAAAGAGCAGAGATTTTAAGGGTTGATTTGGAAAAGCTCTGTTCCTATGAATAACCCAAGTTACTAACTGGTGGTGGCTGGAAATATTCACTAGGTGGCTGCTACTAATAGTGGGCTATATGCAAAAGGGTGTGATAGAGCTGGTACTTAAAAGAGCTTTGTCCAAGTGAAAGCCTGCTTTCCCTCAAGAGAAAAGGCTCCTTTAAAGGCGTGCCATCACATAAATAATATTTTATTTTCCATTGTGTACAGGCAGATCCATGAACAGTACAAAGTTTTGTATTGACTATTAATCTATTCAAATTAACAGTTGTTAATGGGTCTCAGTTGGCTTTTAGAGACCTTTATTTCGATCTACACAGTTCCTTTACAAAGAACTTGAATGACTAATGTTAAGTGCCAGTTGAAGAAAATATCAACAGTACAAATCCAAATGTCAAGGCATGCTTTTAGTTTTGGATGCTATGCTCTTTGTGTGTTTTGGCTAGTTTACACAAAACCAGCTCTTTAGAATTAAAATGTCAATGTATTCATGGGAGCCAGGCTGACTTCTCATCTGAGCTATAATGTCTGATGACAGGTCACCTGTCCTACCTTTTTCCTGAGTTTATGAGCATATCATGTCCCATATTCACCTCAGCCATTTAACTACTTCCCAATTGCATGAACACTGGTCTACCTGTCTGAAAGGTATTCATGCTTAAGAAATGGGGTCTGACATAATAGAATGTCAGTGTTATCTATTTGGAGATTATTAAATCATTTCACAATGAACCGTACACAAGCCTGTTCATTGCAACCTGCCAGTGAGCACAGCAGTTTAATAATTGCCAATTTTACTTGTAGTTTGCATATCAGTGTAATTTTAAGCATTCACATTCATAGACATAACAAGTTGCTAATCTAATCTAATCCCCATTTCTCATCCAAATAAATGTACAAGAAGTCACTCCATAAATGAATAAGTAAATAAGTGAAAATCTATAGGTTGGTAAGAATAGACACAAACAGTTTGCAAGATTACAGCCTGAGTATCTATGCTGTATGTTTTGATTTATAGTTTAGCGCTGGATTTCACCCATTGCTATCACCACAACACTATACAGAGGTATCATACATGATCAGGTCAAATAGTTTCTTAATTATATTCCTTGCTCTGTGAGGAAATAAAATAGAGCAAACAGTAAATGTAATATACTCCTTTTTCAGCCCTCTCAAAGACTCCCTCAAAAGCACCTTCTTTTGAATTTGGCTTAAAGTGTAATAACATCAATTTATTTATTTATTTAAAAAACATTTATTCTGAAACTGCTATTTTATAACATTATGGTTCCCCAGTCCATTTCTTGCCTTCCTACTGCACTTTACTGTTGTTTCTTGGCATTCACTGCATTGTACTGTACAACTACCACAACTATTGTACAGTTAAATGGGGATTCAGAGGCGTTTTCATAGGCTTGCAGCTGTGAGCGAGAGATGCAAACTCCACCTGACTTCTGGGTGTTAATATTAAAAACTGAAGTGCCCCTCTGCTAGTACTGTGGCAATGATGCCACATCGGGGCGTTAGTGAGTCCAGGGTAGAGTGGCAGAATAAAGTAGTAGTAGAGAGTAGTGCACCTTCCTTCTCACATGGCATTTCAACACTACTTTCCCCCTCCAGTCTGTCATAGACTGTTGAAAGTAATGACGTTCTCCCAGGTTTGATGTACACTGGCAATATATCACTAGAAGCAGGGACAGTTTGTTGATGTGTTTTTATGCAGACTTACACAAAACTAGTGTTCATTAGCATTTGAGCTTAGTTATGGCAAGTGTGTGATGAGGGTCAGATGTGTTTCATTGAGCTGCTGTTGACCTGGCCTTCCTCTTCAGTGAAAGCAGCCTGTTAATCTCTTGATTCATTCGACCCCTATCATCCTATTTCTGAAGCCCTCTAGCACCACTTACTCACATGTAATCAAGGCCACTGTTCATCTGCTGACACAAACTGAGGGAAGGGGTAAGAGAGTGCCTCAGTCGAAAGGCTCAGAGAGAGCTCTGTGTGTGTGTGTGTGTAAAAACCAGGTGGAAAGTTGTGTGATTGTGTTGGCAAAGGTTGCTTGCCTCAATTACATCAGTGCCAAGGTTTGCCTTGAAAGGAAGAGAGGTGCTAGCAACACAATTTGCCTTTGTGCACTCAGTAATTAAAATGAGGCTGTAGCACTTAAACCAACCTTGTTCTTAATAACTTCATAACACATTCACACACACACTCTTAACTGCAAGCTAGACAGCTCACATGGCAATCTTGTTGCACAGGCTTTTAAAAGCAAACGCTGAAAGGGAGTTGGGATGCTGATATTCAACTTGGAGTTGAATGGCTGAGTGAACAGCTATTTAACATACTTGTGCACTCATGCTTTTTTGCTCCAAATAGTAATCCCTGCTAACAACTTGGGTGTCGTTCAAGGTTATTTAAAAGATAATTTAGGTTTTTCCAATCTATTTTCTCAGTTTTTGGTTTGTTTTGGCTTTCAGTTTTTATAACATTACTTACAAAAGTAATTTATGACATTTGGAAACAAGTCTGGTGGGACAGCAAACAGGAGCAGTCAGACAGGTTTAGCCACATTATCTAAACCCCTTTATTGAGAGGTAAAAGCAAAGGTAAGCACATCTGAAATATCAGCACAGAACTGCTGTATACACACTAGTGCCATCACTTTTAATTCAAAATTTAAACTACCATTCCCAATTTGGATGTGTGAAAAAATTAAGTATACAATTTGTAATGTTCTTAATTCAAAGTCTACATTGCACAAGTGTCATAATTAGCAGATAAATTTGTGAGTTATGGCCGAAAACATGTTGTGAGGTCACAGTGACCTTGACCTTTGACCATAAAAATCAATTCAGTTCATCCAAGTGAACGTTTGTACCAAAGTTGAAGAAATTCCCTAAAGGTGTTACTGAGATATAGCATTGATGTGAACGTTACAGACTGACGCACAACCTGAAAACATTATGTCTCTGCGCCAGCATAGCAGAGCACACAAACATAAATCTTAATCAAACACATAGGACAAAATAATACAATGAATAATTATAAAAATAATAAATAAAATAAGTTAAAAGTAGAAGTGCAAAGTAATACTGTAAAGTGCTGGGTGCATGACTCAAGTTTTCTTATGTTCAAACAAGAACCCACAGTTCAATAAACACATGGCCTTTGGCTTTACAGGTTGTGTTTGTCCTGTTTGTTCTGCATCTGGGGCAGTACAGTTGTTGGCCAAACAAGCGCCACTTCAAACCCTTACCGTTACATTACGACAAAAACTATTCCAAAGTCACCCATTTGTAGTCTGATGGTGATGAGACTGAATTGCCATTTCATTTCACTGAAAATTGCTAGAGAAATTAGGGATGTTAGTGGTGATAAAGAGGGCTGGAGCCTGGCAAACCTTGAGCTCTTCACTCAAGTGAGGCAGCAGATGCACTACAAATGAATTGATAATGTCATTGCTAAAATGTTCTCCAGGCAACATGAGTTGCATGCAAATTAATCCAACATACATGTTAATTCACATTTGTTCGAACCGGATATTTTGAAAAAGTGACAGCTCTAGTGTACACTGTGTACAACAGTCAAAGCAGGAATTAGGTCTGTAAACTGCATATTTTGAACTGACAGTTTTACAGTTCCAATAAGTTTTAATAACCATAGAGTACCATTTACTCTTCTGATCATCTGACTGCTCATGTTGGCAAATTGGTTTTCTAATGTAGTTATGTCAAATCACCTCTGGATCTTAATATTTACCTTCGACGGTATAACATTATTATTAATAATAAGAAGAATGGACAAAAAAGTTGTTTTAATGAACTATAATGATCCTTTAACAACACAATCATCTCAGGTTTTCTTACCTCTATTTCACATCAAATTTTTCTTTTTCTGATTATTTTCTCTCTTTTCTATTCACAGGCACACCATTCCCCCTCCATGGTCAATCTGCCTTCTATGTTTGAGAGGAAATACCACACATTCAGTCGTTCAACCACCCACCTCCTCTGAGACGCCGCCACTTGGGAGCACCTGCAGGGGTCGACCAATCTTTCCACTTCCTTTGCCTTGACTGACGCTAATAGCAAGATCTGACTGGAACGGCCTAAGTGTACGAAGTATGGCAAAGTAGTATTTGTCCATACTGGAGCCCTTGACAGACTTTCCAAATCCAGTAGAAATTGCATTTAGCCGCAGATGGAAAAATGCACTGAAGCTATGGACATCAATCTGATATGTGGCAGTATCAGAATTGTCCAGCTAACTGCTAAGTGCGCTCCCCAGCTGTAACTTCGCCCAAGTAGTAGGGTTACAGCAATAAACCAGTTGTTCGTCAACCTGAAGCCTACCATGTGACGTATTCTGCTAAAATTGGTCTGTGTGAGGGAGAACTTGCAAGAAAAACAATACAATTTTTGATCCGACAAGGCAGTTTGATCCATCTTTCCAAACATACACAATGCTTGAATTAAGACTGTATCCAGGCACTAACTGGAACGGTACTACATCATGCCAGGGGCTACAGTCGTACCACTGGTTCTAGTAAGGTTTGCCTTACCCTTAAAAATGAAGGATGTTCTGCTTTTTGTCTGCATTTGTTAATAGATTATCTTGACATGATTCATTGTTTTGTCAATGTACTTTATCAGACACTTGTTACATTTTGTGTACACGGGTTGTCTGTTCAGGTTTCTGATTTGTCCCCATTGTTCAGTGAAGTGTTAACACTAAGTATAGACCAAGTAAACAATATGACTCATCCTCTGGTTTGAATGGGGTCATCATGCTGTCCCAAAATGTCCCTGAATGCGTGTTTTAGTTCACTGTGCTTTGGTTAAGTAAATTATCATTTAATTTTGATGTTGAGGTATTTCTATGAAGGTTACAGGCAATAAAAGTAACAGGTAACAAATGCAGATTGCTAACCTCTTTGTGCTTTATGTACTTGTAAAAATTGACTTTTCTTGCCCTTTACTGTGTTTTTTAATAAACTGACTTTTTGAGAGACCTTTATATTAACTGACATTTAATGTTGTTTTATTGTAATGGGAGTAGACTTAATTTTCACCCAATATAATATGACTTATTGTAATTGACTCACCCTCTTAACCTAAACTTACGATAGCTTCCAGCTTTTATAAAGCTTCTATTTTTAACATTTAAGAGATTCAATTGAGAAGAATAAAAGTGCTTATGCTCTTATGTCCTGTACGCCCGTCCACGTTTTAAAAGAGGCTTTTACAGTGTGTCTACATTGTGTCTGTGTATGTGTTCAAGAAGGGATCCTGCTTCAGTGTACATATTTATTCTTGATGAATTCATTTTACCTGTTCTCTTTTTTTCTCTTGCTATTTATGTTTTTCACCACTTTTTATTTGTCATTTCGCTTATGCTGTTTTCATTGAGCTATAATCTTCTCTGGTTGTTTCATCTCTGTATTAAATGCACTTAAACATGTACCTGAAGATTTGAGCTTTTTATTTTACTCCTGTGTATGTCTTTCATCACCACAACATAAAAAATATATTCATTCCATTCACTTGTAGGGGGAGCTGACTAAATGTGCTAAGTAATTTATGTAAAAATAAATTCTTTCATTTCCTCTTTATATTTTGGAGTTAGGTTTTCTACTGTGTGTTTCTGTGTGTGCCTGCAAATTCAAAAAACAGAAAAGCAGAACTTAATGTTGACCCTTATTCGAAAGCTTAGACATAAACCCATATTCTTGTAGCTTCTACTTCAGGATGATCTTGAAGGCCTGTTTGTGATGTGCATCCTACTTTGAAGGGAACTTATGAATGTTTCTCAGTACTTGTCTGTACTTACTCATTTGATTTGGGAGTTACTTAAGAAGCTTTTGGGTCCCACTTGACAAAAAGTTCACTTTCCCTTCCCTTCATGAATCAGACCTTCAGTTTCAAATTCACTTTTGAACCAACAATGTCAGGTAGGTCTTTGAAGAAAGAACACCCATTTAAAAATTACTGACAAATGGGTGAAACTGGGAAACCAGCAGGTATTTTTTTAAGGTTAGCTTTTGACTGTGAAGTGCCAATTTAATCTTGTAAAAATGAGACTATGCTGCAGCACAAAGGTCTCATAGTGATTATCCTTATAATATGATGTATTATTGATCATTGCAGAATAAAATCTCAAGTTTGCCCTCTTCAGGGAGGTCAGGATAATTTACAGACCAAAGCAGTTTCCCCCCATGGAGCCATATACTGATAACTGATACTGAAAGTAATTGTAACAATTATCAACATATTGGATATCACTATCAATTCTCAATAGCAGTCACATGCATCAAAGGGTAAATCTGATTATTTTAAAGAGCAATTCCCTATAACAGTGGCAAAGTAAGTGAACCCTCTGGAATTACCTACATTACCAACACACACTGTATTGTTCTCTCTATTTTGAAAACATTCAAATATTCAGTGTATGTTGGAAAAAGTCAAGGGCGTAAGTTTCCATATGGACGGTAGTGACATGTCCCGACCAATACTTTGAGAGGACAGAATTGTCCCTACCAATATTGAATATACATAATATAGAGTGAATTCGTTCACACTGGAGTGAAGTCATATTCCAATGTGCCCTCCAAGAAGTTATGGCTCCAAGACAACCGATTTAGGCATGCTAGTATTTGATTGACTGAAAGGGCAGGGGCTATCTGAAGGCTCACATGTGAGAATATGACAGCAGTACCTAACGTCACCAGAAAAAATGTCAACTGATGTTATTTAACCATGTGAGCTAGCTATGACTAGTAAGCTAACCTTGGCTTCTGTCTTCTGTAGGCTAGCAGTCAGGTTGCTAGCAGGAGTAGACATACAATGGTGGATATATCAAAGTATGAGTTTAATTTCTATTGAAAAATTCCATGAAAATGTCACCATGAATACTATACTATGACTTTTTTTTTTTTGCCTTGCAATACAATGACAATTTATGTCTTACTATGCAATGAGGTTTTTATGCCTTACTATAATGTAACTCATTTCTGAGGTGGCATGGTGGAGTAGTGGTTAGTACTGTCACCTCACAGTGAGAAGGTTGTGGGTTTGAACCCATGATGTGATGCAACACTTTCTTTATTGGATAGGACAGTGGAGGCGGGCAGAGAGTAGGGGAATGACATGCAGCAAAAACGCCAGCCCCCCGGGGACCATCTGATTGGAGGATATATTAAACCATACGGTCACTGCAAATAAGTAAAGGTATTTCAATTATCACAACAGAGTTCTCGCGAGGTACTCTGGCTTCCTACCACAGTCCAAAGACATACACATTAGGTTAATTGGAAACTCTAATGCCTTACTATTGTATGAATTTTTATGCCTTAAAATACGATGATGCTTTTATGCATTACTATACTGTGACATTTTTATGACTTCCTATACCATGACTTTATGACAAACTATAGTACTACTTTTTATAACTTACCATGCTTTTACTTTTTACGCCTCAATATACTATGAGTTTTTATGCATTACTATAGTATGATCTTTTATGCCTTCCTAGACCATGACTTTATGACAAACTATACTATGACTTTTTATGACTTACTATACAAAGGCTTTTTATGCCTTACTATACTTTTACATTTTTTGTAATTTTTATGCCTTACCATACAATGACACTTTTTGACATTTTAATGACTTACTATACTATGATATTTTTTCACATCTTTATCTCTTACTGTAGTATGACTTTTTATGCCTTACTTTACTATGATCATTTCTGGCATTTTTATAACTTACTATAGTTTTTTGACATTTTTATGCCTTACTATACTATGATGTTTTATGTCTTACTATATTATAACGTTTTTTGACATCTTTATGACTTACAATAGTATGATGTTATATGCCTTGCTATACTATGACGTTTTTTTTACATTTTTATGCGTTACTATACTATGATGTGTTATACCTTACTATACTGTGACATCTTTTTATATCTTTATGCCTGACTATACTATGATGTTTTGTTCCTTACTATACTATGACATTTTTTGGCATTTTTATGCTTTACTGTATTATGACGTTTTATACCTTACTATACTATGACGTTTTTTGACACCTTTATGCCTTACTATATTATGATATTTTTTGACATTTTTATGCCTTACTATACTATGACGTTTTTTGACGTCTTTATGCCTTACAATAGCATAATGTTATATGCCTTATTGAAGGTTTTTGAAATTTTTATACCTTACTATACTATGACATTTCTTGGAATTTTTATGACTTACTATAGAATGACTTTTTTGGGCCTTTTTATGACTAATTATACTATGACGTTTATACGCCTTACTATAAAATGACGTTTTTTGACATTTTTTTGCCATACTATACTATGACGTTTTTTGACATTTCCTGCCTTACTATACTATGACGTCTATGTGTTTCACTATACTCTGACGTTTGTAAAGGTTACTTTAATATGTACATCTTTAATAGGTGGGGGTAGTACAGTGGTTAGAAGTGTTGCCTTTCATTCCAAGGATTGATGGTTCAAGTCCAGATTAGGAATATCTTGTGTGTATGACCTTTTTATGCCTTGCTAAGATATTACGTTTTTTGACATTTTTTATGCCTTACTATACTATGAAGTTTTCTGACATTTTTTTGCCTTATTATAATGACGTTTTTTGACATTTTTTTGCCTTAATATGCTACGATGTTTATATGCCTTACTATACTATGACATTTTCTGACATTTTTTAACTTACTATACTATGACGTTTTTTGACATTTCCTGCCTTACTATACTATGAAGTTTTCTGACATTTTTTTGCCTTAATATACTATGACGTTTATACGCCTTACTATACTGTGACATTTTCTGCCATTTTTTACCCTGACAATACTATGACGATTTTTGACATTTTTTAGCCTCACTATACTATGACATTTATACGCCTTACTATACTATGATGTTTTTTGACATTTTTTTGCCATACTATACTATGACATTTTTTGACATTTCCTGCTTTACTATGCTATGACGACTATGTTTTTCACTGTACTATGTCGTTTGTAGAGTTTACTTTAATATCACTTTCTGCTACAGTTGAGGGTAGTACAGTGGTTAGAAGTGTTGTCTTTCATTCCAAGGGTTGATGGTTCAAGTCCAGGTTGGGGATATCTTGTGTGTGTGACCTTTTTATGCCTTGCTAAAATATTACGTTTTTTGACATTTTTTAGCCTTACTATACTATGACGTTTATACGCCTTACTATACTATGATGTTTTTTGACATTTTTTTGCCATACTATACTATGACGTTTTTTGACATTTCCTGCCTTACTATACTATGACGACTGTGTTTCACTATACTCTGACGTTTGTAAAGTTTACTTTAATAAAGCTTTCTGTTACAGTTGAGGGTAGTACAGTCGTTAGAAGTGTTGCATTTCATTCCAATGATCGATGGTTCAAGTCCAGGTTAGGGATATCTTTTGTGTATGACCTTTTTATGCCTTGCTAAAATATTTTTTGACATGATGATGATGTTTTTTGCCATTTTTTAGCCTTACTATACTATGACGTTTTTTACATTTTTTGACTTACTACACTATGACGTTTATACGCCTTACTATACTATGACATTTTTTACAACGTTTTTATGCCTTACTATACTATAATGTTTTTTGACATTTTTTTGCCATACTATACTATGACGTTTTTTGACGTTTTCGTGCCTTACTATACTATGACGTTTTTTGCCATTTTTTGTCCTACTATACAATGACGTTTATACGCCTTACTATACTATGATGTTTTTTGACATTTTTTTGCCATACTATACTATGATGTTTTTTGACGTTTTTATGCCTTAACTATACTATGACGTTTTTTGAATTTTTTTGCCTCATATTACTATGATGTTTATACGCCTTACTATACTATGACTTTTTTTGCCATTTTTTGCCTTACTATACTATGGCGTTTTTTGTCATTTTTTGCCTTACTATACTATGACGTTTATATGCCTTACTATACTATGATGTTTTTTGACGTTTTTATGCCTTAATATACTACGACATTTTTTGACGTTTTTATGCCTTACTATACTATGACGTTTTTTGCCATTTTTTGCCTTACTATACTATGACGTTTATATGCCTTACTATACTATGATGTTTTTTGACGTTTTTATGCCTTACTATACTGTGACGTTTTTTGCCTTTTTTTGCCTTACTATACTATGACGTTTTTTGACGTTTATATGCCCTACTATACTATGACGTTTTTTGCCATTTTTATGCCTTGCAAAACTATGACGTTTATACGCCTTACTATACTATGACGTTTTTTGACGTTTATATGCCCTACTATACTATGACGTTTTTTGCCATTTTTATGCCTTGCAAAACTATGACGTTTATACGCCTTACTATACTATGACGTTTTTTGCCGTTTTTCGCCTTACTATACTATGACGTTTATACGCCTTACTATACTATGACGTTTTTTGCCGTTTTTCGCCTTACTAT